GACTCAGAGCACTCTGGAGACATCAGCTGTCAGAGCTGATTTGGCAGTCAAGAATTCATCTCTTGTTTTTGTAAGTTACAAATCCAGCAGTCTCCTGGGTTCTGAGTAAAAATAAAACTGAAATCAGGACAAAGCTTATTAATTTTATTTTTTAAAACTGGTAAGAAACAGATTTTAATGAAGCCACAAAAAGCTCATCACAGAGATATCCTTGGAATTCTCTGATATCCTACTATTGATTCCTTTGGCTGACCACTTTGAAACTCATACTTTTTTTGCCACCTGTAAACACTTTGAGTCAAGACAGGACAGATGGTTTTTACTGCCTCTCAAACATGGTTCCAGCACTCTACCCTCTCTTCCTCTCTGTTCCAGTTATTAAAAAAAAAAAAAAAAAAAGATGCTTTGAGAAGGCAGAAGCATCCAAGAGATTATGGCTTCTACCTCTGAACTGCTGCCGGCTTGTGCGTTGTGCTACAAAGCAAAGTCAAGCACATTAGTTTAAAGGCCAGTGGCATGCAATGAAGCAGAACAGAGAAAAAGCTCACATTAGCCAAGCAACAGACCCTGCAGAAGGCAGCAACCACTTTGTCTCTTTTATTAGTTGATGTCTGCCTGCACAGTGCCTCCGCTCTGGAAAGGTTAGCTTAAACAAGGTGGGCTGAGCTAAGCTGTCTGCCTGTCATGATGGGCTGCTTACACAGACAGACACTGGGGCTCAGCTGAGAAACAAGAAAAAGCAGCTTCCTGAACCATCTCCGAACTGTAAGCCTTTAGACTACAACTTTTTGCATCTACATAGAGTAAATGAAAAGTTTTATCATTTATCACAAACAATGCTATGTTTGTTTAAGGTTTCCAGCTGGCCAGCACTCACCCATGGAGGTGTGACGTCAGGATGCCCAGGTTCAAGTTCCCAGCTGCAGTGACATGACTCTTAAGTGCTGCACTGTCATTCTGGTTTGGAGGCTTCCCAAAGAGCAAGTTTGCAGTAGATTCAGCCACTGCTTGGCTTCTATTACCAGATTCTGAACACCTTACTCCCAGGTATAATGCAGATAAACCAAACAGCTCGCGTAAGAGGGAATCAAAGTATAGCAGAACTAAACTGCAGCACTGGCATGATGCCTGGTGATTGTTACAAATACCAGAGTAAAATACATCCAGGTAATGCGAAGCCAACTTTAATGCAGCCAGCATCTACTTTCCAAGTTTTGTATCTATCTTGCAACGTCAAACGGAGACCTCTCAGTTAACTTCAGGTGAATTTTTATGTCTGCAGTACTCAGTGTAATGCACAGCAAAAACATACTGCTCCTCTGAAAATTCAGAGCAAGGGGAACAAGGACTGTATCCTTAAAAATAATAATAAAAACTACTAAAAAGAGAAAATAAAACAAAAAATATCCTGTAAGGCATAACTGTGCCATGAAGTTTTAGAGAACGCAAAATTCCTCCTACCCCACAGAGCGCTGGCTTTAAGCCCAGAAGAGTGCTCAATACCAATACTCAATACCATTAGAAAACTCTGCATTTTCCACAATGCGATAGACTTGGTTGTAGACCATTCTTTTCCCTTTCCCCATTCCATTCCTCCATAAAAAGCTGCACGCTATCAAGGTAGAAAAGTTTTTACAGCTCTATGCTCTAGCAAGCAACCATGACAATTTCCAAATCGTGGATAAAGGGCCAGGTTAGAATGAAGGATGGTTGATCTAAAAGGAAAAAAAGCTTCCCCAAAAGCCCAAAAATTCTTCAGGAGAAAGAAAACCATAGCAAGTAACAGATTATCAGAGAATGAGAGAAATCTAGTCAGGAAAAATCTACCTTAAAAATAAGACAGAGGGCTCTGTATCTTAACACTGACACAACACAAATTCTACCAATACACGAGAAAATCCACATCTGGAGAAAAAAAATACTTACTTTTAGTAGAGAGATTCCAAAAAGGTCCCTATTTACGTGTAAGGGAGCAACATTTCACCTGCACACACATATTTCCTAGACTGACCACTACAACAAGCAAGAGTGATGATCAGCATTTGCAACTGCAAAGTAACAATACAAAACAAGAGCAAAGTTTTGAGAAAGTTGTCACACACACACACACAGAACAGACCTTAGTGAAAAGCCCTATTGTACAGGGCCTTGGGAACCTGCTGACACGCAGGAAAGGAATTATGCTGATGAGTTAGCTGCCGGGTTACTGTCTGGTAGATTGTGCCAGAAAGACCAAATTTCAAACAACTCCCAGTATTAACTGAATACTGATCTTTCCTTGTTTAGGGTGCTGCCACACACTGGGTGAGAGCTACAGAGCAGAGACTGCTACATTCCCTTACAGCAACAATCTAGCTGAAGTACTGTGCCATGTGTGGTTACACTGTGCATTAACACGGCTGCAAACATGAGCAGCATGAGACAAATGGGATGCAGACTTCCTGAGAGAGCCTTACAAACTACTGATGGTCTACATATGTTCAAAACCAGCTCTTTAAAGAAGCTCAGAATGAGTGACAGTCTTGGAAGAGTATTGAAAGAGGGATAGACATTACCTGCAAAGAACAGAATATAACATAAAGCAAGTTGGCCATCATCGCCAAGTGAAGTTAAAGAACATGCATCTAGCATAAGAAGTCAGCACAACACTACAAGAAGTACAGTATGAACTGGAAAGAAATCTGTTCAGTTGGAGGTAAAAAAAAAAATATAGAGGAAAAGGAAAGTTTATTCAGAAACATAAAGGATTATTGGTCAAAAAAAAAAAAGTAGCATGCAGTAATCAATCACATTTTTCTATTTGTAAAATATCATACCTTTAATTTCCTCAACCTGTCTAGTTAATTTATAAAAGAAGAAAAGCTGTAGCAAAAAAAAAAAAAAAAAAAAAAAAACACCACCACCACCAAAACACCAGTAGATGAATCATTCACAGTTTTCAAAGGTTTTGAAGAAAAAAACAATAATTCTGCACATGTCAGAGGCTACATCTAGAAGCTTTGATATTCCTCTTCACCTTCTGTATTAGCTAATTATGTCTGACAGCTCAGTAAGTTTGCTGGAGAGGTGGATAGACTCTATCCATGGCTGCTACTTAAAAAATGTGAAGCAGATGAAGTCCTGTGAAGCTCTTCTCAACTTTTAGGGGCACAGCTAACAGCACACAGGAAATTAACAGCTTTTGCCCAAGCTCTGCATACAGTCAAGCACGCATTTATCATGAGACAAGAGCAGTGTGTTAGACATGTTCCCATAACAGGAGAAATACACGTGTTTTGGATAATTAGCAAAAACTGAAGATCTTATTTCAGTTCTGCTGTCATGAAGAGTTACCACACTAGAAGTTGCAATCTTCTCCTTAATCAGCATCCGTAAGTTTAAACAGCTGCAAAACCTAGAATCAAATCTGGCAGCCCAAAATGTAGACTGTAGAACTTTTAATGATGAACTTGATCATTCAAAATTTCTACAAAAAGGATTATTGTACTTTTTGAAAGTCCTTAAGTGACTAGCTCAAAAGAAAACAGAAAAATACAAAGAGCAATTTCTAAAGATAATTACTCACCAATATTGATAGTTGCTAGACTTATTTAACAGAGGCCAAAGTAACCATCTATTTAGGACTTAAGCCTCTACTTTTTTACAAAAAAAAAAAAAAAAAAAAAAAGGCATTAGCCCACTCCAGTCCCCTGTCTAACATCGTATCTTCAACAAACAAACTTTAACTCCATTATAACTCCATTTTAACTCCACAACAAACTTTGACTCCATTATAAATAAAGATTGTGTAATTTAAGGAGGCTTGCAGACACTGCTTAGCAGAATAACTATAATATGTGGTGTGCTAGGCAAAGCGGTTGTATTCCCTGTTTCCAAAAGGCAACTACAAAAGGAATTAAACTGGTTAATCATGAGATGCTAATGGGAATCACAATACATTGTATATGGCTCAATTACATCCTACATGAAATTATGACGATCTCATCAAAGAATGAGATACAGGGCAGAGTCCAAAATAATCCAGTACTCTAACATTAAGCTCTTAAAAATTATTCTCCTTTGAGGTGACAAAGGCTCCGGAGCTGCTTTTAGAAGTTCTTTATCCACATTAACATTTTTTTAAATCTATTTCCAGTTCTCTGAAGAGAAACTTCAAAAATCTACTCTTAAAGTTTTCTTGTCTTATCGTCATGCTTGTGTTCTGTATGCTAGCAAAGGTCTACTGCAGTGCTACCTCTCTACGGCACAGCAGTTGGTGCTTTTGTAGAGGGGGGTGGTTTTCTTTGTATCTGAGATTAAACCATTTAATAATGCACAAGTTGCAGTACATGTTAGTAGCAGAACAAATCAGGGGAACATTAGCTGTTACAAAAACGAACAGAACAGCACCAGGTCCTCTGAAATCTGGAATTGGCCCCACTTCAAAGACAGGATGAAAATGGCACTAGCCTTGGGATCTCTTTCAGGGAATTTACGACTCTGATATCCATAAACGACTGGCAAGGAGGGGAGACGCCAGCCTGGCACAGACTGCCTAGCATCCTCAGCCTTCTGCACAGCTACAGGGATGGGAAGAGGTTGAATGCAGATCCTATGCTCAAGCAGCTACCCCCTCCAATCCTTCTCTTTCCTTCTGCTGCCTCAGTCTCTTCATTGCACCTGCACCAAACACTTAACCCTCTTCCCGTCTTGTTTGATTTGTCCTCTTTCTTTACCCTTCCAAATCTGCTTATCCTTACAATTCTCCTGTCATGTAGGCTACACAGTGCAGCTCTCTGGGATCAGTTCCGCCTGTTTGCTGCAGAAAGTACAGGTTGTGTATTTTTCCTCAATTAAACTAAAAAGTTACATTCCAAGTTTCACTTCCAAGACTTTCAAAAATCTTGTCTCCTCCCTACTTAACGAAGGGAAAAAGGATTGAACAAACTGGCAAGGAAAAAAAGCAGCAGTCATTTCTTCTGGTAACAGTCATTTCACACCGTGTGAATGTTCACCCTTACCTCAACTTTACTTCCTGGATCATGAGTTGCAGCAGCAAAGTAGACCACCTCCTGTACTTCATCCCTAGGCCGTGCAGAGTTCTTCCCAAACACCACCAGCCCGTCTTTAGAACACGGGGGAAAGGCGACAAAACAGTAACTTGGAGGAGCTGCAGCCATCCTAAAAAAAGGAAAGGAGAAGTAAAAATTAGCATTTGCCCAATTCATAATTTCATATAATAGAAAATCATTCATTCTTCCATGATTTTTTGCAGCCAAGAGACAAGACATTCCTTTTATTTGTCAGTTGATTATTCAGAAGAAGATGCCAGCTCAGAGGAGGTTTAATAAAAACAATAGTGGTGACTTGCAGACATTTCTCACTCAGGTCTTGTAAAGACGAAGAGAGAAAGACAAGATGACTGTATCTTAATGAATCTACCCAGTCCCCATGGAAGGAAAGAAGATATTCTGCACCAGAGCTGTTTGGGAACATATGACCTAGATGTATTCTGCTGACTCAGACAAGTGCAGAGACACAGAAGAATTTTAAATTACTCTCACTGTTCCAATGCAGTTTAAAATTTTTAAAAAGGAAAAAGAAAACATGTCTGAGGGATTCCTGAGGGAGAACAATGATGTAACTGGAAACAGAACAAAGACATGGCACAATTATAGCAAAACCTGTCTGTCATTTTATCTACTCACATCGCAGAGAGACTGAAGCACTAACTGCACCGTATTTCCTCTGTGGTTTCTCTGCATTGCTGTTTTACCTAAAGTTAATTGATTGCAGTTCAGTTGTTTATGCGGGTTAATGTGAATGTTCTTTAAAATGCTCGTATGGCAGCACACACATTATAGGTGTTTATAATGGCAAATATTAATTAAAAATGTAAATGGTTTCAGGACTATGACACTACTGTAGCTTGTCTTGTGTACATTGCTATATATGACTTTTTTCTCCATTCAGGAAGCCTTCTGGCACATGCCTACAAAATAAAAAGGTGGGGTGTTTACTGCTTGTTAAAATATCACTCAACACACATGTCTCAGACCTTATCATTGCATCAGAAGTAAACCTTGTTCAAAATGAACAAATATGTTCCTCCTCTCCCTCCTTGATATCTTGAACAGGTGAAAACATACCCACACATTTGGACTCCTTAGAAACAACCTACACAATCCAACTTCCCCCAAACAGCTGCTAATTTGTTTGAAAGAATGTTACGTGCACGGGGGGAAGGGGATGCACAAAGCTGGTTTTGATCATTAACTTGTATGCTATTCAAACCTGGCATTTTAGTGCTTGTTTTGTTTGTTTGTTTTTTAAAAAAAGTACCATTTGAGACGTTTTTCAGACAGAACAGCAGGCTTCCAATGTTAAACCAAAGAAAGAATGACTTTGGATAAAGGCTATAACACACAGAGCAGCAATTGTTTGTGAAGAAAACACTTAAGAGTTCACCTATTGACTACTAACAGGTTATACACATGCTCAGCCTTGCAAAAAAAAAAAAAAAAATCACCAAGAGATGTTATTGTGTTAAAGGTGTTCCCCACCAACCCAATGGGCGGTGATGAACTGTGTAGGGAATTCACACAACCTTTTAATTTAGGCAAGATTTTACAGAAGAGCTCTGAGTTGAAAATACTTCAGGTAACACTCATAAACCCCTTTTTACAGGCAAAATTTTGACCAGTGAGGAGGGACAAGCAGCAATAAGTTGTAATGACTTCTGCTGATGAAAATACACCTGCGGGAGGACACCTACCTACAGGCTTGTATGTTGTGTCACTAAGTCTCAGCATACTACAGGTTGTAGAGGGGTGTCCTGTGGACACACATGAAAACAAAGCCCCACTTTAATTGCCATTCTCACCACTTGTGAGTCAAAGCATTGTGATTAAACTGCAGATACAGAGCTTTACCCAAATTCCATCACTAATGAAACCGTATAGTATTTTAATGTATGCAAAGCATGAATTATTAGGAGTATGCAGGTTTATTTTGCTTTGTTGGCAACATCAACGAAACTGCTTTCCAATACCCCCTAAGAGTTCACATCTACATTCAGGTACGGCAACATTCAGTGCTCTAAATTTATCTTCTGTCGTCTTGCCAGACCTGCCAAAATCTCAAATAACTCACAGGCTTACTGTAGATACCAGAAAGCAAAATAATTTTTCTTTATTCTAAACACAAACTAAGTAGATTTATTTGAAATACATGAGGCAGCTGAAAGACACTGACCTTTCTTTCTAGGCTGTTGGATGTCTGAAGCAATATACAGCACTAATTTTATTAGATTCAGTTCTTCTGCTTGCTTACCAAATGTACTTATATACCGAATTATTGCCAGGTGGGCTTAAAAAGAAGAGAAGGAATGTTTAAGCACTATGATACTGAATAAATCAGAAGGTATGCAAGGCAGGCTTTTACATACCTCCAGATGGAGTAGGTAAGGAAAAAAAAATGTAGGTATATAATGTTATACAGATTCCTCATGTCCTCCTTAGCATAAAATGGGGTCATTTTTTATATCTTTGTTTTTTATTTGTTCTTCTAAATATATCAACACTTACAGAAAAAAAAATAAAAATACCATTTTGGTAATACTTTGGGTACAAAAGTATTGCTAAGCTCCTCTGTAGCTCTCCATACCACACAGTATACTTGGGGCAGAGGGGAGGTGGTGCATTATAACATTTGAACACCTCAAGCTGAATGTTACAACACTACACTGAAAACCTGATCATAAGAGTAAAGACCATGATCATAACAATCATAAGAGTTAGCACTGGGATCTTAAATTGCATCTACAAACAGGGAAGCTAGCCAGCAGTCTGCTACAATGTAAATCTACTCAGTTTATTGGGTAGCAGTGTTTCCTAGAGTCTCATTTGGTTAATTTTAAATCAGACAAGGACATCAGTTTCTCAAACACACCCACAGCCTGAGTTTGTTCTGAACACCACTGATCTTCATCTTCCTTGATCATGTACCTGAAGCAGTTTGTTAGCAGCTACCTGTCCAAACAGGAGACTTTTACTTTCCTGCTTCTCCTCCCTCTTTCCTTAGTTCATCTTCAGGTTGTCCTCATTCTCATTTTCATGCATTTCAGAGAACAGTTCGGGTAGGAAGGGACCTCTGGAGGCCACCTGGTCCATCCCCCCTGCTCAAACAGGGCCACTCAGAGCAGCTTGCCCAAGACCATGTTCAGGCAGCTTCTAAATGAGGAAGGAGGGAGGGAGGGCACTCCACAACCTCTCCGGGCAGCGTGTGCCAGTGCTCAGTCACCTGCAAAGAAATGCTTCCTGATGTTTAGATGGAACCTCCCCTGTTCCAGTTTGTGCCCATTGCCTCTTGTCCCAGCACTGGGCACCACTGAGAAGAGCCTGGGAGCCTTGCAGCCTCCCTTCAGGCGTTTATGTACATTGACAAGATTTTCCCTGAGCCTCCTCTTCTCCAGGCTGAGCTGTCCCAGCTCTCTCAGCCTTTCTTCATAGGCTCCAGCCCCTCCATCACCTTGGTGGCCCTTTGTTGGGCAATCTCCTGCCATTTTTGCCACCTCACCAAAACCTTCCCAATACTACTCAATACCACACAAGCATCTTTCATACACAGGAGGAACAGAATACTCCTCCTTCACAGAACCCACCATAAATCAGGTTCATTTACAAAGCTACCTACTGTTGATCCCATGAATGCTCCTCTTTTTCCACAGATTATTTGCTCCTCCAAGGAAAGGCAATCCTGAAAACCTCAGAAAACACCGGGAATGACTGCGAATAATCTCAAAGAACACTGTCACAGCCACAGGGACATAGTCACTGTGGCATTCTTCACCACACAGGCCTGCTTTTCTCAGCACATACCTCAGACAAGCTTTGACACAGACAGAGGTAAACCTGTGCTGCACGTCAGCATGCCTCAGATGAGCCTGCAGACCAGTGGAGCCCAAACTGGAGGAAGGAAGGCTTCCATACCTCGCACCGCTGCTCTGAAAGCTGCAATTTGGGACTGAAGTCATCTTTACAAAGTTCAAGAAGTTGACTGCTACAATAAAATTACTTCTCAGAAAAATATCTTCCTCCTATATCAGGTAGGTATCAACACTTTTCAAGCCAAACTTCCTTTGATTGACAAAAACCCCTGAAGACATTAAGTACAAAATAATTACCGATTTCACAAAGTTACAAACTATATGAAAACTGGCCTGCCAACAGTTTGAGATGCTACATCTTATTTATTTACAAAAGAATTACCAAAAATAAACACTCAATATTATGAGCTATTAGTTTTTGAAGCCCTTCTAATAAGTTATTGTTCAAGCAATTCTGGAGCTTATTTCTAAAACAGTAAAATTGCTTTTGCCAACAGCAAGTTCTTTTCTCTACTTTTCCTTTCAATTGGAAAACAAGACAATAGCTGATAATGAAAGTGCAGCACTTAATGGGAAGCAGCGGGCAATGAAAAGGATCAGGGAGATAAAGCAGGGTCAAAAAAAAAAGGGTCTGTCTTGAAACTTAATTTGTGCTTACTGAACTGAACAGGTATTTCCTCCTCCTCATGCTTTTTTAATTGCTGCTAGCAATGCCCTACAGCTTTATCTCAACAATAAAAAAATAATATACCCCTAGAATCACATATTAAACCCCTTGGGTTTAATACAAGCTGGGTTAGCTGGGTTTTCTGAAATGGAAAGCACATTAGCTGGGATTTTTTTGGTTATGAAAACATGCTAAACAATGGAAACACCAAAAGAAAACTCTCTGAAGTAGCCAGTCCTATGTCTAGAGCTCCTACTTACCTGACAGGGCTGCTAAACTCTTGCTGATAAGCTCTGACTGCTTTCTGGTGATTACAACTTTTTTTTTTTATATATATATTGCAAAAGGGACCTGAGCTGCTTCTAAACTCCAGAGAGCATATTAAGCCTTTTACAAAGGCATACAATTTGTTTCTGTGGTATAAAAGCAGGACTTTTCCTCGCTGCATTTTGGGCTTTTATAGAAGAGAAGCCCAGCTGTGCTAATACTTCTGAACTATTTCAGTAATGTTTAAAGAATCCAATAAATTGGTTTTCATTGCTACCAGGAAGGACAAGTCACCTAATCCACAGCACACTTTTACAATGTCAAACTTGGAGGCAGCACCTGCACAAGGTTCCTCAAATTTGGATTATGACTCTCTCATGAGGAAGGAAAGAATATATCAAATGGGCCCCACATTATACCCTCTGAAATCTTCCATGCTTTTAATGGGGTGGCAGGAGAAAGGTCAGTCTCAGTTGTGAGAACTGTTGACAGTTCAGCTGTTGGTTTCAAACCAGTACTTTAACCTCCAAATCAAAATGCTTCCTGTGCCGGAGACAAGCTGGTATTTCCATTTCCAAATCAAGCTTAGTGTCTTATGCAGCGACATGTGATCTCTGCATCCTGCAGAAAAGCAATGTTTCCAGAAACAGAAATGAAAAGCAAAATTCATTCAGCTGCAGGCAGAGAACAAAGACAACAATCTGAAAGGCACAATAATAATATTGTTCCCATCTTGGGAGGCACTGAAAGGTTATTTTTTAAATTGACAAATTGGACAGTTTTAAAGACTGACTTACCAGGAGAGAGGAAGGTTGCATTTGTTGAGAAATTAGAAAAGCAGAGACTGTTCCTGAATATAAAGCACAAAACTGCACCAGATCTGTGCATTCCTATGGTTTGGACATTTCATTATCAGTCAGACTGTTTGATTCTTTCCTTACCACACAAGACTGGTGATGCCAACTTACCACTTAAAGGTGCCACATCCTACAGAAATGCAGCTCAGCTTTGACTGTCTGTCTCAGAAGATATCCAAGGGGAGTTATCAGCAGCTGAAACTGAGCAAGCCGAGCTCAGCTTCTCTACTTTTCTTTAAAGTCACTAGCTCCCCTTGCACATTAACTACACGCTGAAAATGCCTCATTAACCACGCCAGAACGAACTACTGCATTTTGGAGAATATGAGGAAAACCTCAAATTTCTAGTCAGAGATTTGGGATGGCCATTTTCTCCAGTAGCTTCACTTTTATTTTTGACTTACAAGAAGTAGCAATTCCCTACACAAGCATAAAGACTAGCTGCAATTCAAAGCTTTCCCAAACAGTACACCCCCTTCAGTCATTTTACTGAACAAATGCATAACAGGCCTGGAAGGAATTGAAAATATTTCTCTTGCTGTATGTGGAGAAAATTTGAGATAGTCCTGGCAACAGCTGTCAGATTTCTTAAATCTGCCTAGCAAATGAGATACTGGCAAAACTCTTCAGCATTTAGATTCTCCACAAATGATAAGATTTCAGCCGTTAGGAAAGTTTAAAGTCCCCTGACCAACCGGTTCTACTTTCATTGTCTAATATACCTTCACCCATCCTTTCAACATAGGCATCTTTCAGAAGAAGATAGGATCTTAGTTTTTGCCTCTAGTAATTCAAATTATGTTGATGAAAACTCATTCTATTTAAAAACAAATGAGGGTCATTCATCCAGAAGACAACAGATTTCAACCCCATTTCCATCATAGGCTGTGCATACAGGGAAAATTCATTATACAAACTTTTCACTGAGCGGATGTCAATGCACTTAATTAAGTCTTCAAGCAGGATCAGAACTACATCCCTTTTGTAGCTGCTGTTCAGCCTGCAATCTAAGGTCTTATTTGTAACATCCTCAATTTTGTGGAGAAGGACCTGTTTTCCTGCACAAGCTCTTTGCTTCTGTACTAAGGCTGAGACCCTGGTCAGGACCTGCTGGCATCCCCAGTATCTTGGTAGAGCACACAGCTTCTTAATGAGACATCCTTTGCTGCTGCACAGTGATTAGCAAAGCAGTTTTCCCTTTTTGTAAAGGGCCAGGACAAGCCAGGTTTGCTGTTCAGTGAGGTCCTGATCCCATCACAGGAAGACTGTCCACCTACACACATAACTGGCTATGAGCACTGACCAGCAGTCCTTTGAAATTAGCAACACTGGTCTATTAACAAGGGGTAAAATACAAAGCACCAAAGTACCTGGCTGGAAGTCTCCTCAATGTTTAAAATATAACCCAAAACAACAGCAAATGTTGCAAGACTAGCAACAGAGTTTGTAAATGTACCATGTAATAAGATACATTGTGGCAGAAACCAGCTACCTGGGTACCTTACTGATGCCAATTCCATGCAATTTCCCTATCTACCGAATTTACAGAAAGAGAAGGCCAGTGCACTACAGGGACGATGTCCTGTTTCACTAATCTTCAAGTCCATAATGTACAAAGAAATTCTTATTGGAAGCTCCTAGCATAAACTAGCACAAGTTTCCCACATGCAAGCTGTGTAAAGCACACACAGTTGATGACTTTTGAAGGGGAGGGCAGATAGCCAAATTCGGTACCTTTTAGCAAAAACACCAAACTCAGCAGGAGTAAGCAAATGGGGCTTAAGTCATATCCTACTCTATCAGGGAAAAAAGTGACAAATGTCATCCAAAAAAAAAAAAAAAAAAATTAAAAGGAAGCCACCATAAAAAATCTCAAACTCCAAGCATCGGAAATACTCTTTTGGGTAGCACAAAACCTACTCATAACAATAAGGATTTCCATCTACCACACTTAGCCTCCATATTACATCTGTGTTTTCTGACTGTCTACATAAATTCTGGAAACTAAACTCCCTGCAAAAGTTGATAGCGCTATGAATGGCTTAACTTCAGCCTTGATTCATCCCGAATCAGAGGAAGTCCTGTGTTCACAGAGATCAGATAAATATGTATGGTTAAGGGTTTGTTTTGAGGTTTCTGCTTGGTTGGTGGGAGGGTTTGGGGTGCGTGTTATGAACGAAGTCGCATGCTTAGAGGTGCTTTAAATCCATAAATCCAACCCAGCTTTTAGACCAACAGTCTACAGCTGAGCCCACTTCCCACGAGCTCGTGCATTTGCTTTCTGAACCACTGAGTAAATTTAACATTCCCAGCTCCCTTGCGTCACGGAATTTACCAAACCCACTGCAACACAACCTCTTCTCCAAGACCGTTACCTTGAAAGTTTCACGTTTTACAGGTATGGATGGCTTCACTCACAGTTTAAAGAAAATTGTACATAGTGATAGATCTATACACATGAGCACCCATTGGCTCAGGGCCCCAATAACGCTGCTCTCTGCTCGAGATGCCGGGGTAACAAGATCTTTTTCCCCCCTCTCTAGTTATCAGTACTGGTGAAAACATCTTTTTTTTTAAGGCAGGCTAACGATATCTTCTAGGATTATGACGGCGTCGTCAATACAGAGCTGAGTTTCGCTGCTCGGGCGAAGGAGCCCGCCACGCACCTACCTGACACACACACACACACGCGACGGCATCAAGATCTCAAGGTGACTACACCAAAAGGCACCTTCAAAACAAAAATAAAGGGGGAGGGAAGGGGGGGCAGGATGCTTACAAACCCGAAGGGAAAGCAGTTAGCGGACAGAAGGCGGGCACCGGAGGGCGAGGGACACCGAGGGGCTCCGAGGGACACCGGAGATGCCGCCGCCGCTGCCCGCCATGTTGCGCAGCCCCCGCCCCGCTGCAGGTGCGCGGAGCCGCCGGGGGCCATCGCCGCCCTCCTCTCCTCCAGCACCCGCGGCCGCCGGGCTGAGGCGAGGCGAGGCGAGGCGGCGGACACCCTCCCCTCCATCCCTCCCTTCACCTCCCGCACCCCCCTCCCCACCGCCCCATCGCCTCACCGAGCGGTGCGGTAGCGGCGCGGGGAGCTGGAAGCCGCCGCCCTGCCCGCGGCGGTAGCGGCCCCGTTACGCACCTCGAGCTCCGCTCCCCTCAGCCTGGAGGCGGCGGCGGCGGCCCCTGCCGGTCGGTGGGAGCAGGCTCGACCCTCCCCGCTCCCTTCTCCCCCTCCCCGTGTTGCGCAGCCGCCGCCCGAGCCGCTCCGCCCGGTCCCGCAGCGGCCGCGGCGCCGCCGCCTCTCCCCTCACAGCCGGCCCCGCGCCGGGGGGCTCCGGAAAATGGCGCCCGGGGAGAGGCAGCGGCCCCCGCGCCCCGCTCCCTGACTTTTGGGGAGCTGAGGGGGCGGCCTCGAGGGCCGGGGGGGCTCTGCTGGCCCCAGGGGGTGAGGGACCACCCTCAGGTTTTTGTCCCTGTCTTCAAGGAGCTCTCTGCTTGCTCCACGGATGTCGCCTCCAGCCCCCCTCGGCACAGCTAAGCTGTAAAAGAGCTTTATGTCCATGTTCAGGAGTTTGTTCTCCACACTATTACCTCCTGTCATGGGTTTTTGTGCTTGTGGCCAGCAGAACTAATTATCCGTAAGCTCCCTGCCATCAGGGGTTCCCCTACTGCTGCACAACTCTGTGGTCAGGTTGGGCTCCTCAGGACATTTGCCTGTCTTCCTATTTCTCTTCAGCAGCCTGATCCATTAACATGGTCCGAGCCAAGCTAAGATGTCTGCAGAATCAGTCACCACAAAAAACAGGAGTGATGATGATGGTCGCTCTGAATTTCAGTGCAAGTCACTCGTCCCTACCAGGTAGGAATCAAGACGCTTAAATATCACTTTGCTCAGCAGATCAGTAGATACAGTTTAATAATCTAACAAAGGAAAGACAAAAAGGCAGGCAGAATGTACATACGGGACCTTACATTAAAAGAGAATTTAGAAGGAAAAACCCTAGAACCATCTACAGAGAAAATAATTTCATCTCATCACCTACAGGAACAGGAGGATCTATGGGTCTGCATGGGTTCAGAAATGATGGATCATCTTTGGACACCGTTGCTGTCAAACATGCAGACGAGAAGTAGTAACTTCATTAGGTAATCAAAAAAAATAATTTGCCTTTCCTAGTTTAAATCTCAGTGAACGTAAAATATTCTGACATCTACACCTTTTGGGGCTATATCAGTAACCTGAATAGGCACTAATTTAGAATTACTTAGGCTCAATGCTTTTTATTAAAAAAAAAAAAAAAAAAAAAAAAAAAAGCTGATCAGTAGCCTCATGGAGCCCTTGGTACTCCAAGATCTTCCACTATGTATTTTAGACAAGACCTTTGATTCCCTGTGCTATCAGCTTTCTGCCATCAGAATTACAGTTCAATGTGTTGTGCAATAGAAAAAAAAGTCTGGATATCTCCTTAAAATATCTGACTGAGAGGTGGTTTGAATCACTTTAATCAATCCTGTAAAACCAAGGAGTTCATACCAATTTAATTGTAACAAATTCAGTTAAACATAACGACCCAAATTCCTTGCTCTGGAATTACATGAAGGATGAACTGTGTCATAGCTTGCTTTGCAGAATCAGAAAGATAGCTGATGAAAAGAACAGGTGCAGTTTAAAAGGAGTTTTAAATTATATCCTGCGACACACCACTTCCATTACCCATATTATGCTCACTTAGATGACTAAGTCTATTCTCCTAATTACACCAGAGATGATTATGGCTGAGTATAATCTACCTAAGAATTATTAGACTGTCTACTGAATGATTAAATACTGGCTATGCAGAAGTCCTTGATGCTTCCTTTCTGTGTAAGCTGTCACGAACTATGTAAAGCACCAAGGATGAGCAGTTAGAGCATGGCCCGGGCAGGCAGGAGAGTGTGTGGTGTATGTGTGTCGTTCTGCCATGAGCTTGTGGCTTGGCTTTGGATAAAACTTGTAACCTCATGGAAATTCAATTACCTCATAAATGAAATGTAGAGAGCATTTAGTTACAGCTGCATCTTGGAAACCTTTGAGTGGAACTGCTGTGCAAACAGAAAATACAAAATTATCATAATTTGGACAAAGCCGCAATGATTATTTATTGATTATTTGCTCATCATCTTTAATAACATGACAGCAGAATTTGTGGATATACAAAACAAATGTTTATTCTCTTGTAAAAGATTAAATGGGGTACAATATTGAAGGAGCGCAGAACACATCTTTACAGAAGAGAAATTCAAAGAACATTTGTTCTGTTTTATCTGTGAAAAGAGAGAGACCAAAACCCAAACAGAGCAATGTATAGCTTGTTACAGTTTATTTTTGTTCTTTAAACACCTCCTCAGTTGGAGAACAAAGCCTATTCAGCAGAATTAGTACCCCAAATCCTCAGCATTAATCTATTTGACTCCTGATTTCTAAAATATTTTTCTCTGCAAGTCAGGGAGCAGAACACGCAGACATACAACCGGTAGAACTAGTTCTCTCAGCAGTTTGGAAGGAGAGAAGTTGGCTTAATGCAGACGACAAAAAAGATCATCCAAGTGTTTCAGTTCTATATGAAAATGTACCATGAATTATTTTTGTGAAAGGCTACTAACAGCCAAGAAATCCCTTTTGTTGGTATTCCTTTCTGACATTTCAAGCCACCATCTTAGTCCTGTTCTCTCTGGTGGAGCACTGATTCAGAGTACATAAAAATCAGATGTATTTGGGTTATACAGAAAAAAACAACGACCTCCCTGCTCCTAAGTCAGAATTCTAAACCTCTAGCTGTTAAAGGCGTTCCACTAAACTTAAAGGATTCCACTTACATTTAGTTATTGGGCAAAAATCTCCTCAAATAGAGAAAAGCCAATCCTGTGTAACATTGGAAAACCCTGCAAGCCCCCAGGATCATACCTACACCATAGGCCAGTAAATTCAAACGATGTTACACAGATCTAAGGAGCATAAAGTATCAGCGATACTGGGATTTCCTTTTATATGGTCAGCAGACTGGAGTGGAGAGACAAGAATACTTCTCCCACACTAAAGGTAGTTTCATCCATAACATAACAAAGACAGAGGGTGGCAAGTGCAATATTCTGATACGAAGTGAAGATCCCACCTGCTGGGCTCAGCAAACGTTCAAATGATACAGATACGAGAAACCCTGGGTGCAGCTCCTTTATCCAGTTATGCCACGGAAGATAAATCTATGTAAATGGCTGCAGCTGTGCGTACCATGTCATTGTAGGCACAAAGGCAGGCTTAGATGCTGAGCTTACTCATGCACCACAGAAAGTACATCATTTTTCCATTGCAGAAGTGACATAAGTGATCACAACTGCTTAGCCAGTGTCGTGGGAACAGAGGAAGCCAGCGTGCCACCAGGTTGCAGTAACCCTTGGGGTCCAGAAACCTATCGGACTTAGCACTTAACTTAGAACCCATTCAAAAAGGTTGCTTCTTTTCTGGATGATTGGATTTACCAAAAAAAAAAAAAAAAAAGCATCAGTCTGTTGCTTGATTTTTGTAAATGTTGTAATCTTCCTTGTTTTAATGTATAGTAACCTGTGGCTGCATACTTATTTTCATAACTCTAAAAGGTATCACAGGACATATTTATTGTCATTGGCTTGTAAAGTCTGTGGGTCTGTAGGTTTTTTTAGTGTGTTACAACAGCACTTACAACAATGAGGCTAAAACTCTTGATAGAGTCAATAGTTGAGGTAGGTGGAAGGAAATCTGTCATCCTGAGACAAGAAGCCAGTTATAAAAACAAAGAACCAGCAAATAGAGATACAACGGCTTTTTTTATTAAATGCTCCTGCTTAATCCTGATATATGCTTCCACTGTTACTGTGCTGCCTGTGCAGAAATGCTTGTAGCAGAGCAATGAACTGGAAAAGTGCTCTCACTTCCCTCTGCAAGAAACATGCTATAGTAACCATGTGCTATATAGTTACTGCTGTTAAAATTGTATTAAAATTCAAGCTTAGGGTTCTTCCAAGTTTAGCATTATTCATAAAATTGCAACAGCTTAAGCATCGAGGCATAAGATAAAAACAGTTCTGGTGTCACGCAGGTGATGGAGGAATTTATTGAAGTGACTGTGTATTATCTGAAAGAGCTTTATATTGTGTATTAGTGTGTCGTGTCCGAATGATCTGTGTGTAAATTGCTGCAAATTAAATCACAGCACTTAGAGGAAAGATTGGACAGTAATAAAAGGGACAGAAAATGCCACTCGGTGATGTGTCAGCCATCTGCTGCAATGCAAAGAGGAGGTTACAGGCTTCCAGGAGTTACCACAGCAACAGGTCTGCTGAGCACACTTAGGAGCAAAGTGTGTGGCAGCAGCCTCTGTTCACCATCGCGTGCACCTCAGACGCTGGGGGCTGCAAACAGGGCATGTCCTGTCTGGGAGGCTCGGGGTGGGTTTCTGCAGCACCAACTGGTCAATAGCTGCAGGTAGGAAGGGGTCTCTGGCAACAGAAATGCTTCAGACTGAAGTGAAACCAAAGGAAACCAAAGACATTCATTTGGTTGCAGCACTTGCAAAAGGATGGGAAAAACATAGTTTAAAAATATCCGTGACTGAGTGTTTCTTTCTGAGGAAAGAGCTCCCAGTTATTACAAGTGGCCTGGCCCACAGCGTGTGGCTGGAAAATGGTAGGTAACAGGAGAAAAACAAAACAAAGCTTACACATAAGCAACATTTCACGTGCTATTTTTTACATGCTTGTTTTAATGAAGAAATGTCATTAATGGATTACCCAGGAGTTTTTAAACTTCCTTGCCCTGGCTGTGGCTATCAGCCAAGGAACACGGGATGGTGCAGAGAACTGTTCCTCTGCCTTCCTTAACTTTTCTCCTATTTCTCCCCATTGCAAGGACCCCTGGTGTTTTCTCCAAGCCTAAGCTTAGCTTCACCCAGGGGCAGCAGTGTGACAGCAGGGCCCTGGCTGATGGCACTCTGGTTGTCCAGAGACATCGACACATCTCTGTGCTGCTCTCCCACAGCTGCCTGCTCAAAAAGCAAGGTGCAAGGTTAGGGTTATTTTTTGCACAGCCCTTGGGGCTGTAAGAGGGTGCCACGGTGAGCCCAGGTCAGCTACTGCAGGAGGTGGACACAGAGTCATTAATAACGTTTTACTTTGCATTTATGGGATGAAAATCTGTTCTCTAAAAACATATCCCAACAGATTAGAGACCAGAGCTAAGCCGTGCTATTTACTTCCAGAGAGCTGGCAGGCTAAACATGCAAAAGAAATGGGGATTACCTCGTTTATTAGTCAGGGAAAGAAGCAGAAGAGAAAGCATCGGCTGCTTTAAAGAAATTTCAGTGGCAATAAAATGCAAGAGGGCAAGACTGATTTAATGCTTTCAGTCAGACTCTCAGATGAGGAATCAATTATCCTGCGTCATTTAATCTCCTTAAGCAGGTCACGACAAACTAGAAATTAGAAGCGTTGCGTCTAATACAAAGAGCAGCTCTTAGTGGTAGTTAGCATCCACCTCAGAATTTTTAAATTAGAGGAACGCCTAACTGGGATTTGGGAAGCTTTGAAGAGCTTGATACACCAGATTTCAGCAGGCAGAGCCTACTATTTTATAAGGGGAAAAATAAAAAAAGCAGGACAAACCTGTGCTCAACACACACACAATCCTGCCAGCAGTGCACAACGACAGTGAAAGCTCCACAACATGATTTTCCCCTGCTGCCACTGATGGATCGGTCCAGCCCTTGTAGCCCCTTTGTGGGAAATGAGACAGAGAGAGCTAAGGAATACACAGAACACATACTAAAAACTGCTCTCACATCCATAAGGTGTTCCTAATAACATTTTGAAAGGGATTTCATTTAGTAAATAGCAAGCCAGAAAGTCTTAAAAGTAAGCCTTCAGAGTCACGGCATTCAGAAACCTTGAACAAAATTGTTTACCTGACATGCTTAAGCTTCAAATGATCGTACCTCTGAGCAGCAAATTTCTCAGCTAAACCAACCTCCTACATTTTTTTTTTGTATCCGTCAAGGTAGCAGAAATACCACAAGGCTTCCAACTGGGGGAAAGCTAAGCAAGCCTGCTTCTGGAGCTCAAACTCCTGGAAGGAAAAAATGTGATGCCAGAGGCAACTCCCATCTGAATCCCCTACAGGTTGGGAAAGCTGATGGTGAAGGTTCTGGTCCCTGTAAGAGACACAGAGCTTCCTACCGAGCTTCTCAATTACATTTCTGGAGTTAAACTGTTGGCATGATCAAGCACAAACATAAAAAACAGAAGCAGGACAGCTAAAAGAAGATCATTATTTTGTCACAGTTGTTTTTGCTACAAGCCGGAAGAAAACTAGGACGCAGAATGTAAGCATCATGATTAACTTTCAGGAGAGGCTAAAATTATCCAGGATTACACAAAACTAAGCAGGTTCTGGTTGTTGCGTGTTTATTTCCTGTTACCAAAAATGATTCAGTGTTAAGGATTAAGGATTCAGGGTTGTTTGTTTGTTTGTTTGTTTGGGGGGGGGGAGGGGGGGAGGGGTTGATTGTTTTTTGCAAAAGCTCTGTGATGAGGCTGATGTATTTTTAAGACATCAAACTCAGCATAAGTGTTCTGAATATTCTTTAATGGTCCTTGGAAGTGTGGGTTTAGCTTTGTTATAGCAGTAGAATCTGCATAGAAATTGTCTGAAGCAGTGATTTCTAACCAAAGCCAGATCAGGAACCAGCCTTATAATTTGCAGTACCTGCACCAGTGGCTGCCAATGTTCTTTCTGCCAAGGAAGCAGATGCCAAAAGGACTGAGGAAAGAAAACCTTTTGCATTTCTCGCATCACTCTGCATGCTTCCACCATCTTTTAGCACACTTCCCCTAATTTTGCTGCTTTCCCCAGAAACGTCCCAAAGCAGTGAGCTCTCTCCATCCTGCTGATACTGACCTGGCACCTGAAGCTGGGATTTTTGGAGGATTAGACAGCCTCCTATCTAATGGCAGAGATTTTGTGGTTTAGGGAAGCACGTATGACAAAAACACTTGTAATTTAAAGGCTGACCTGTACCATCTATTTTTGCTTTGAAAAACATGCCATAGATCATTTCAGTTCTAAGTGTCATGGACGAGAAGCTATGATAGCAGTTTGTTCAGTGTGTACTTAACGCTGCAATTTTATGACCTCGTTACAAACCAGAACACCTCGATACTGGGAATGTTGCTGACAGCATAAGGACACAAGGTGCTGAAAAGCAGAGTTAAAACCGAATAAAGCAATTCCTATAGCTTCAGCACTGTTTGCCTTGTCAGTGGATCTCAAAGAAGAAAGCTTCAGAAAACATCTCAAACTGTAAACACTGTTCCTGAAGCTTTGCCAAAAGCCTTCTCGTGTCACTGCACTGCGAGGATTTTCAAATAAAATGAGCTCTGAAGGCTGCTTCTGTACCTACAGAAGGCACTAACTCCTGTAATTGCTAGGTAGTAGCTCTGAATGACAGGCTGCCGTTCTAAAAATCATCAGTGTGTATTTTCCTAGGTAACCATAAAACAAGAAATGTGTGAAGGAGGCTATAAACTACAACTTTAGGAGGAGGAACAATCCAGTACGTGCTCACAATGCTGTTTTGAGCCATCTCCACTTCTTCAAGTGCTGCATCTTAGAGACAAGCAGTGAGGGTTTGTTTCCTCATGGAAATATACCTTGCATTTCAGAAACAAGCCAGTCTAAATGTTGCTGAGTGCCCCTGAAGCTCCAATATTCCTCCTCCCTCATAGGGCAGGCAGCTGCCTGCCTCTGCTCTCCTGCAGGTAGCTAGCTGGCTCCTGCTGGTACTGCAGCAATATGCCCTGTGGATTAACAAGCAGATGCAGCTGAGAGTAAGACAAGCAGCAATATTTCTACCTAAAAAACCCATCATCTTCACAGAAGGACTTGAATGATAGCAAATGGTAATGAAGTTGCAGTGGCTTCTCAAATCTGCTGCTGATTCTGCAGTTTTGAAAGTTTTTTTAGCTCAATTTCAGAAAATGTACCACAGCCACCACGAAAAGCAGTAAGAACAAACCCCATCCAGTCTGCCATGAATCAACACATAACGCACCAAACAGAGAGCATTTCAGTCTTGCAGCTTTAATAGTCTGCTGGTACAAACTGCCTATGGTACACGTTTACTGGAAGCCATTTTTATGAAATACTTTAAAAATCTAAGATAATGCATATGTACATTTCACAGTATTCTCTGCCTCCCAACTCGTACTTAATACCAAGGAAACACTTGGTCCTCACTGAAGAGGCACACTAGCATCCATTTAAAAGGTTTAACTATTTGTCTGGTGATCAGGGGCAAGTTTTATCTCATGTCTTTATGTTTTAATTTCCCAGACAGGTGTTCAGAGAATATGCTAAACATTGCAGACCCAATCCAAGTCTCAGTTCTGTTCTCCCCAGCAGAGTACACACAGCATTTCCAATTTGGTTGGTTGTTACCAGCTGGCTCCTGCATCCTAAGCAAGGCTGCCCTAAGGGCCACCTTCATATCCCATTTGCCATCCTTGGCCTCAGTTGCAGGAATTGTCTAGGCTCCCCACGTCATTAATGGAGAAAGACAGGTACCTCTGCTCGATCAAGCATCTATCCTGACCCACACCAACAATATAAATGTGATGAGCTGCTGCCAAGTGCCTAGTGCTCTAGTGACTTTAGAAATCAAGACACCCAGCTCACAATGTTAGGCAAGCTGAATTTGCCAGTGATGAGGAAAAAAAAAAAAAAAAAGTTTCATGCAAAATTATGACTGGTAAGAAGATTTAAATGCTTATTTATTATTTCCTCACAAGAACCAGGATAAGCACTGAGCACAAAAACAAAGGGAAGCACCATCCTACATTGTTCTACTGTGAAACTCACTGCCATAGAACACTGTGGGAGAGAAAGTATAAATGGGTTTCAGACTAGATGGCATGACTGAGTTCTTGAAAACAAAATATGTGACCACAACTCCACATCACGTAGGTCACTGGCCACAAAATACCAGATGCTGGAAGAATGCAGATTTCAGTCTCGCATACCTTCACTTACACTTTTTTTCCCCAGAAAATCAATCACTGTTTACAGCAATCCTTGATGTCCAACTCAAGTCTAATAAAGCAGTCTTCTAATGCTTACTTTCAACACTAGGTGGCAGGGAGAACAACTGGCTCATCTGCTGTATAGAGAACCTGGAAGGCAGAGCCCCACTTGGCACTAGTTAGGGATTAGCACAATCCATCAGCACTGATTTTATATAACTAGATTTGCCTTTGTCCCTCTTTAGCCTTGGTTAGCCTCGGGAATTTTTTTATTTTATTTTTTTTTTAAAGTACCATGTCCAGAAACCCCTATTAGAGGTGTCAGAATACAATTTAATTCCTTCCAAGAAATACCTCAGCCTCTCATTTAGGAGCCCATGGATGATGGCTAAGCTTCTTTCTCTCCAGAGAGGGTTCAAACAAACGAGATGGAATTAAAATCCTCATTGAAGATGAAGATGCAGCACTGTAGTGTTTACCTCATGCCTCAAAACTTCACTTTATTACTTAAAATTCAAATAATTTCTGTGCTTAACTTGTGAAAATACAGCAAAGGTGTAAGGATGAGACAAGTTCTGCAATTCAGGCAGTAGCAAAGCAGGTAAGCAACGCAGCTTTCTTCAGGACATACCAACCCTCCATTTAGAACGCTCTTTCTCTTCTGAAAATGGGGAAAAGCTTCAGCTTTGCAACACTTTTAGATATCCTTAAAACTTGAGGACAAGGATTATTTTTTCTTTGTGAACACAAGCACTGAGTTTCAAAAACAATGTGTTTATGTAGGTATGTAAAGGACACCACCCCCGCAGTGCAGCATAACTTGCTGTTTTCCAAACTGCAGTTATTTCCTAGAATGTTCCTGATACTAAAAATGAAAAAGTGACATTTACCCCCTACTTTGTTCACATAATGAAAAAAAACATGCAATTATTGACACAGTTGATAACACTCTCCCTTGAGAAAAGCAGAAGCAGCACAGGACAGACATTCCTCTCATTCAGCTTTGTATCAGTTTCTCAGCTGCGTTAGGAGATGTTGATGCTTTCAAGTATAGCTTTTCCAAAGCTGCAGAAAAAAGCAAGATCAGCAAACTGCCTTTCAAGCACTGACACATGAGAAGGAAGGTTAAAAGTAATTAACCTTAAGCCACAGACCAGAATTCGGACATAAAAGTCACTGAAAGTGATCTCAACGCGCAAACAAATCACAGAAAGGCACTGAACCGGATTTTGATTTTCAAAATGTTTGCAAAGTGGAAATCTGGTTTCATTTCTAAAAAATAAGTTAATACAAAATTTAAAAAACATGGAATGTGCAAATCTTTGCTGCACAAAAGTACATTTTCATACTTACAAATAGTTTAAATCATTTTTATATAAACAACAGAAATTCTCTTTTGATACATAGTGTTGGGTTGTTTTTTTTTGCCGACAGCAGCTGTCAATTCCAAAACACAGAATCAAGATGACAAGAGAACCAGACAGTCTAAGTCACTGCCATTTGTGTCAAAAAAATTGTGTCACCCTTCTCTAGAGCTCATCGTGCTTGTACGTGAATTCCCTTGCAGATATAAACCCATCGCTGTCTTCATCCTCTTTATCAAATATGTCTTCAACCAAAGCATCATGCTGTGTGTCATTTACCACTGCTCCATGTTTTTCAAATTCTTTCTTCAAGTAAATTTTCACCTGTAAGGTAAAGGGTGAGAGTTAAAGTTTTTAGGCTTATAAGAAAATTAAGTACTGGAGGGCCATTATGTTTGGGATGGTAGCATTAGACTATTAACAGATACCTTCCTTCCTATGCCACTGACAGAACAGTACTTGTCTGACTGATTCTGCAGCCAAGTTCAGTGATGAAAGACTCTCAGAGAAAATAAAACTAGCAAAGCAGTTGCCATAGCTTTACGGTATCTGACTGAAAAGTGTGCCAAGAAAGTCTGTCATCTGTTGTATATTCAATAAAGTATGAGTAGCTAGGCAGAAATTATTAGGTACCAATTGGTCAAAGACCAAAACAGCTTTTTCACATTGAAAAACCAGCAGGTGTAAACAGCCACCCCAAACAGATACAGAAATCTGTCCACAAACTTGGCATCTGCTGCTCTAATGGGAACTGCATTAATAAGGACTTATTTCTGCAAATCTCAAAGCTTTGAAGGACAAATAGGTTTGAGGCAGCTTTTAACAAGACTGCTAGAACAGTTATTTACACCACGCTAGTTACTAACGGTGAGCAATGTTTTTAACAACATCAGATGATTTTTACCGAGTTTAACTATTGAGAGCCCAGGTGTTCTACACTGCAAAGCCTTCTACCTGACTATTAATCCTAATGCACCCCTTTTAAATCCCTCGATCCAGCAGTTCAGCTGGGATCCGAGGCTCAGCATGGCGCAGCACAGCTGTGCATCTTTACCTTAGTTTTACTAAGAGTTAAGCTTACAAGCTTTGGCTTATCTTTTCCTTTTCCCCTACATGATCCCATTAGGTTTCCTCCCAATGGGTTTCCTCACAAGAAGAGTAACCCACTCACCTCTTGCTTGGACAGTTTCCAGTCATCGTTAAGATCCATCTCTTGGAATGATTCATGAGACCTTGGTCCATTCCTAATTTCTAGAAGGTCGACGTTGAATATCAGCGTGCTCTCAGGTGGAATTTTTCCTGCCCATAATGGTAAACATACAGAAAAGTTAGAAACAATTACGCATTCCGTGCCACACAGAAGCCATATGCTTCAGAGAAACATTCTGCTAATCCCACCACTTCTGAAGCATTTTGAACTAAACCGGATAAGCACCTCTAACAGTGATTAAGTGCAAATATTTCAGACTATAGCCCAGACCTTGAGCATCCCCTGCAGTGCACATGCAACTTTAGATGCACATGACTTTGCCCCTCTCACATTTGGTCCTATTTAAGCTCTCTGTATTCCTATATTGGATGGAAGCACCCCAACAATATCCACATAACCTGAGATGACAGGGAGAAAACTAATCCTATTTTGGAGATGTGGTGTTAAACATAGCCTGAGCTGCAGCGCCAAACAAGATTAGAGATTTCTGGGATGAATAAATGTGCAGAAACTTCTGGAACTGCAGACCACGGAGGCTTGCACAGGGTTTGAACTCAGGTAATTTTTTCTGAGCGTTACAGAAGAAGGCATCTGACTCATCACTCAGGGCAGACGGCAGGCAAGGCACCAGGTGGGAGGCTAGTGAATTCATGTGTGTTCAGAGCAAAGCATGAAGAAAATGGAGTATTTCTGTCATCGTTTGAAAATAGCAACATAATTATGTTCAAATACTTCATTTTTTTCCTAAAATACATCATTCCTTACAGCAGCTAGCAATGTTTACTCATTCAGCCTTCTTGCATTAAAGCCATAGGTGAGGCTTAGAAGTCTTTGAAGGCTTGTAGTGTTGTGCATTTTAGTCAAGGCAATTATGGCTGTAATTACTAGGTGAGCTCTGCAGCGTTTAGTGGCTTTTTGTGGAAAAATTTACAGTAGTGCCCCGCATAAAGCAGTAAAAGTAACATTCCTGCTTCATTCAAACTGACACTCATTTAACTGCAGATCCCAGACCTGACCTTCCCATTAAAAGAGGGGTCTGGAAATGTTGGAAAGGAAAAAATATCCTCAATACTCTCAGCCTGTGTACTACTGGCAGAAAACATTACAAGCAATGTTTTTTTTCTGTCTGTGCAGCATTCAGTACATTTTCAGTAGATGTCAGCATGGCTGCCAATGTTCCTGCATATCTCATTTTGGGTAACAGGCATGACTAAAACTGTCTGGAGGAGGGAAAGAATAAAACATCCCTTTCTGGAGAAATAAACGGCAAGTTTTCACCATATCAGCTGAGAACATGAGAAGATAGGTAGCAGTACTGGGGGTTCTTCTGGGTTCAAAAGAAACCCACAACCAAGAACGAGGCTTGCACATGCACATTCAGGAAGCATTAACACAAACACAGATGCAACAGCCAAGGTGATACCTAAGTAAGCTCTTCAGGTTTGACGGAATAAAAATAAAATAAAGCTGAGCACCACTGAACACGACACTAACAGAAGCTTGAAAGCTTGCTAACCTCTTAGGCTAAGAGTAAATCAACAAAGACAAAAATAAATAAAGCGAGGGAAGGACTTCAGGTGTTTTACCTTTCCCTTCTTTTCCATAAGCAAGGGCTGGTGGAATAGTTAGCTTCCGCTTCTCTCCCACACACATGTCCTTCAAGCCTTTGTCCCAGCCTTTGATAGCTTCCCTTATGCCAAGTGTAAACCACATAGGCTGGCCATTGTTATGCTTGTGACTGGAAAAGAATGGGATAAAAGTCTTTAAACAGCAAGTTCCATAAAAGGCACATGGAACAGATGGAAGATGTTCACAGCATAGCTATATAATAATAAATCTCAGTTGGCACCTTGGTATTTCTTAAATGAAAGACCTAGACTTTTAAAGTTCTTAGAAGTTCTGCCTTGCATAACAAGGTTTCTTAAGAACTGGAAAGAAATAAAAGAGCATGTCCATGGTGTGCTTCTGACAATGCTGAACAACCTGGATCCCCACCTTCACTTCCCTGATCACCCATTTCCACTTTGAAGCTGATCAGACTAGACAGGCATTTCTACTTTAAAAAAAATACATATATAAATATAAAAAATAAATATATATACGTATATACACGCACACACATATTTGAGGCTACTGCACATCTTTGGTAAGCTGCAAATCAAAAACCAGCTAGGTCATGATTACAACCTATCTTATAGCATGCTTAGAAGAGTCTGACACATCTCTTCGGAAAAAGCCATTGGGGAAAAAAAAATGACTACACAGCAGATAGTTTAGAAAAAGACAAACAAGTGCATGCAAGACATTTAAGTTTAAAATAGGCAGACAATCCCCTTTTCCAGTTTAACCAGGTGGTAACACCAGGGTTACCTTCACTCTATTGAAAGGCACAGAATTTTAACTACAGTGAAAAGCTCAATTGACAGCCATGCAGGAAAGGTGCTTAACAAGAAATACGAGCACTTACAGAAGTTAGTCAGCATCAAAAACTTAAAGTGTCACTAGAGCTCCGTTTAGAGAGGCAGGTAAACTACAAGAGAAAATTAGTGAGATTTTAGTTTACGTCTGTGAACATGCAAAAACATTTTTTATTTAAATGGGTTCCACAACAGCAGATTTCAGACATAGCCTGCAGGTACTTGTTCATTTCCCCACTTCCCACTATTGACACTCTGTTGTTTTACAGGAAAGGCAACATTAGCAAGTCTTCGAAGGCTCTCAGCAGGCTCCCCGAGTTCCTGGCTCTTCCTCCCACTTACATCACTGCTGCTCTGTGGATTCTTCCGCTCTGGGGCAGGTGAGGAATGTCACAGAATGGTAGGGGTTGGAAGGGACCTGATGATCCAGAGATCACTGGGTCCAACCCCCCTGCCAAAGCAGGTTCCCTAGAGCAGGCTGCCCAGGTAGGCATCCAGACGGGCCTTGAATATCTCCAGAGAAGGCTCCACAACCTCCCTGGGCAGCCTGTCCCAGTGCTCTGTCACCCTCACTGTGAAGTTCTTTCACATGTTGGTGCGGAACTTCCTGTGCTCCATCTTGTGGCCATTGCCCCTTGTCCTGTCCCCACAAACCACTGAAAAGACATTGGCCAAATCCCTCTGTCTCCCACACCTCAGGTATTTGTACACATTGATGAGATCCCTTCTCAGTCTTTTCTTCAGGCTGAACAGACCCAGGTCTCTCAGCCTTTCTTCATAGGGAAGATGCTCCAGGCCCCGTATCATCTTTGTGGCCATCCACTGGACTCTTTCCAGGAGATCCCTGTCTTCCCTTGTACCACGGAGCCCAGAACTGGACACAGTACTCCAGGTGAGGCCTGACCAGGGCAGAGTAGAGGGGGAAGATCACCTCCCTTGACCTGCTGGCCACTCTCCTTTTAACGCACGCCAAGATCCCATTAGCCCTCTTGGCCACAAGGGCACACTGCTGGCTCATGGTCAACCTGCCGTCCACCAGGACCCCCAGGTCCTTCTCCTCAGAGCTCCTCTCCAGCAGGTCACCCCCGCAGCCTGTACTGATACTTCGGGTTGTTCCTTCCCAGGTGCAGGACTCTACACTTGCTCTTATTAAACCTCATTTATTTTTTCCTGCCCATCACTCCAGCCTGTCCAGGTCTCGCTGAACAGCAGCACAGCCTTCTGGCGTGTCAGCCACTGCTCCAGCCTTGTGTCATCGGTGTCCTTGCTGAGGGCAGACACCATTCCTTCAGCATGGTCGTCGATGAAGATGTGGAACAAGACTAGACCCGGGTATGTCATTTAGGACATTTCTGTAACTAGAAGGCAGCAGTGCCTGTCAGATGATTTTTTGGGGGATGTTGCTGTGTTTCTTTTTAAGTAAAGGTAGACTTCTCCCCTATAAGTCTGCTTCAGAAACTAAGGAGCAATTTGTTCACAGCAGATGGCTTTATACGAAAACTTGCTAGTTTACACCAAAAATTTGTCCCCTGGTTGGTCCAAGAGGACGCCCAACACCCTCACCTTTTACCAGCCGCTATCCAACACTGCTTTCTAGAGCCCAACCAGCAAGCAGAACCCACACAACATTTATTTATCATTTATTTTCGCACTTTGACCTGCGGAAAGGAGGGGAGCCTTACAGCTGACACCCCCCCTTTCCAAGCCAGACCTTCCTAAGCAGCTGCCTCTTAACCCAACGAGGAATAAACACCCGCACACACCCCCAGACAACCACAGCCACACGGACAGAGCCCGGGGCCCCGCACAGCCTTACGTGGAGTGGAACATGGCGCCGTCGCTCTGCAGGAAGCCCTCGTAGTGCACCAGCAGCAGGTCCCCCCACTTGCTCCGCCGCCGGCACAGGAACGGCTTCTGCAGCACCTCCACCTCCACCTCGGCCGCGGGGATGAGCGCGGCGGCGGCGCAGCGCAGCACGGCGGCGCCCAGCAGCACGGCCCGCAGCACAGCCGCCATGGCCGCCCCGCCGCCCCCCTCAGCGCCCCGGGGCCGTTAGGGCCGTTGGAGCCGTTACCCGCAGCCCGGCCCGCAGACGTGGCAGCGGGCCTGGGACTGGCAGCCCCCCGGCTTCGCGCTGTGCCGGGGTGGGCGGGGAACGCCCTCTGATTGGTGAGGGCAAGCAAGCGCAGTCGCCCATTGGGGGAGCCCCCCGTCCGTCGCGCGGTTTGCCCAATCGGAGGGCGGCGACGCTGACCGTTCAGCGGGGCCTCCGCTCTCCAGGAAGCGCCCGCACAGCACGGGGGGCGCGTTCCTATTGGCTGCGGCCGGCCCCCTGCCCCGGGCGTTCCGCGCTCCCCTCCCTCCCTCCCCCTTTGGCGTCCGGCTCGCGATTCCCAGAGCCGCTTACGCTAGCGTAGCGCTGCGGGCCCGCTGTTCCAGCCGCTCGCTGCGCTAGGAGCGTGGGGGCCGCGCAGGGCGGGCGGGCGGGCGGCGCCGCGCTATGGCGCTGGGGCCCGGCGGGGGCGGGGGGGGCGGGGGGGCGGCCGCCATGGAGGGGGTGCTGTACAAGTGGACCAACTACCTGAGCGGTGAGCCCCCGGCGGGGCCGGGAGCGGGCTGGGGGGCTCGGGGAGAGCCGGGCGGAGCGGGGGGGACCCGCAGCGGGGCGCTGGGGGCGTTTAAATGGCTGTGGGGGAGGTTAATGGGGTTAATAATGGGGTTAATAATGGGGTTAATAATGGGGTTAATGGCGCTCGGTTCGTGGGGGGAGTGCTGGGGGTGCCTCAGCGGGCACGGGCTGGGCTTTTGTTCTCCACAGATCGGTGATGGAGGATGGGGGCATCTCCCTTATCTCGCTGCTGAAAGCCCGCCCTGGTGTATAAAAGGTTGGGGTTGCTCCGTGCCTTTCGCCCCGGGTCGTTAGGGGCAGGGTCGCCCGGTGTCTCCTCCTCGGTTGTCAAAATCCCATCTATTAACGCGTTTGGGAGCAGCGGATGGGCTGTGCTGCCAGCTGGCTGTGCCCACATGTGCTGGCTTCTGGCATAATATCACGAAGGCTTCCTGCCCCCAAGGCATTAGGTCATAAATTTGTCATAAAGCAGAAAGAAAGGAAAAAAACAAAACACAAAGTACGCTGCCGGAGTGTGGTGTTGGTCGTCGAGGTGGTAGACGAGGGGTTGGGAGCCAGGAAAACCCTAATTTCAGGAGGTTAAAGGAGGCGTGAGGTTGGGCAAGGGCTCAGCAGGGTGTTGGGGCAGTGCTGGTGGCCGTCAGGTTGTGTGCCCGCTTGTGCAAGGTGGACGCAAAAAGTGGGGAAAAAGGTGTGCTGGCTTGTGTAAGCGTGTGTACGGCTGTGTAAATGCACGCAGCAGTCATCCCGTGCCCTTTCCTCCTAATTATAAGGATCACGCCTCTGTTTGCCACAGTCGGAGAGCAGATAAGGCATCCACCGAAAGAACAAGCCCGACCCTATAAAAAAAGGAGAAGCTGCTGGCTCTTACTGCAGGGGGAGAGGAGCTGATGGAGTCGGTCGGTAATTGGGGCTTTTCTGGGAATTTTGGTTGTATGGCGCCTTCTGTCAGCACCACCGTGAGAGGTGAAGTCCCCACCGAGGTGCTTCCCCACAGCCCTTGGGCAGGGAGCGAGATCTGTCACAGCCTGCCCAGCTCCTGACAGCAAGAACCTGTCACAAGTAGGAAACGCGCTGGGCTTTCCGTGGGCAAAGGTTGGAATTGGAAGCAGGGTTTGCTTGCCAAAAACTAAAGGCAGGTCAGCTCGCCTTACTGCTCAAACAAGTTATCTCCGCTTGTAAAAATGGACTTGTTTGCTCTATGTAGATTAGGATAAACCGAGTTAGTGGTGCTTGATTTCTGCTTGGAGATAAGTTTTTCCCTGGCATTGATCCTCTGCTCGTGTTGTGATTTGTACGTGCAGGTGTTGCCTTTGAGATGTTTATTTATCCCCAGGCTTACAGAATGAGCGAGTTATTATTTACCCACAGGGAGACAGCAGGGTTGAGGAATGCCTTCTTTCAGTTGTGTAACAGCTTGGCACTTTCAGCTGATTTTTCCACTGAAGTTCAGTTAAGTTTGGATCTTCAGCATTTACCTGGGACGCTTTACCTGGGATAATTGGCCGCAGGAAGGATGGAGGCTGACTCTGGAGGGGATGGTGTGTGCCAGGTGTTGGCTTGTGGATCAAAGGCAGCCTAGTCATTAGAAAGAAAACTGCTGACGGCCTCCACTGAGTCGCCTGGTGTTCTTCATACGCTCAGGCAAGTGGCTTTGATCGCTCTCTTCAGAAAGCTCACCTTTTCCTGTATTTAAATATTCCCTTTCTTAATTGTACTGACTAACTCACTCATCTTCCCCGAGGCACGCTCACCCTCGTGCCATCCCAAGTGACGCTGCATCGCGCCACGTACCACGGCTGGCTCCTCCCATCCACCTCTGTGGATCGTGCACCATCGTTTTATGGTTGTGCTCTGATTTCTTTGCTGTTTATTTCCAAGACACCAACACCAAGCAGTAGTTTTCGGGCTTTGTGTAAAGTTTGAGGTTACTCTTGGCTCTGATGTTTCAGACTTCCCAAACTTGAGGGGAACACTAAAGAAAACATGGAAGAGCATTAGTTTTTATAGCTTGGTTCTGGATGCATGGATCCATGGGTATCTGCATGATTCTGCTTAGAGTGAGTCCTTGTTTTGGGAGTTTAAGAAATCTGATCTTTTAGGATGGGACCTACATCCCATCTATTTGCTACCAAGCTCTGAAAATAAGGTCCTCTGTTTGTAGAGACGGAGGAAGTAATTGAAAACTTTACATTTAGATAAACATTTGGTTCTAAAAACGCTTTTGTTTATAATTCTTTTTTTCCTTGTTTTAGCTCTCTGGGTATAGTCGAGTTTCTGATTGCATAAAACAAGAAGTCTGGCTGTTGTGGAGGTGGAACTGAGCAGCAGAGGTGCCTGCTGTCTTAAGGGAGGTGCTGTGATCAGCATTACTGACCACGGCTGCTGCCAGAGACCAGCTGTTGGTTTAGATGGGTGACAGAGCCTCCCCCGGGATGCTTCAGGGACTGCTTAGGTCACTTGTTAGGATTCTGCATAACTGTTTGTGTGGCTTGACCTTTCTTATCAATTCCCTATGAGCACGTCTCCTTTTTCTTGCTTTTTCTTCCTGCTTTTGTCACACCTTTTTGCAGCTGAGCAACGTGCCTCGCAGCAGAGAAGTTTGAGGCTGCAGGAACGGAGCCATGTCCCCTCTGTCCTCTGTAGGGGACAGGAGTGGTGCTGCAGAGCCTGCCCGGCAGCGCTGCATTCCCCACCAGGTATGCTGCAGTACCGGTGCCTCTGCGTGCTGCCCTTCTGCACCAGAGAAGCTGGGTCAGACAGAATCAAAAGGTGTGGCAGAATGGGGAAAAAAAATAACATCTTGTGTGTTTTGGTAAATCGGTCATGTTGGCTCAGGTGAGCAGGTCGTGGGTGCCCCCAGGTCAGGCAGGAGCTGAGGAAGTGTGACCAGAGGAGGGAAATGCCCAGGAGCTTTCAGTAGGTGAATGTTTTGTTGCAGATAATAACTCGAATTAGCGTGTCTGAGCAGTGACCTGGTTTACTGCACTTTTGCCTCCGTCGCTCTCAGCAATCGCTGCTCTGCCCTTCGTCCTTCCACTGCCCCTATTAGTAACGCCTCGTTACTGGCACGGTGTCCTCCTCCACAAGCACGGAGAGCTGGCCGTGGGCATAAAACCCATTTGCAAACATGCCATCAGTTGCCTTGTGAAGGCAGGCTGCTCTGCCAGCGCTGCTAGCAACAGCTCTGAGGGGGCACACGAGTTGTATGCACTTCTGCTGCCCTCACCGGTGGGGTTTTTATGCTGCCAAACCGTTACATTGTGGAATTAAGGCTGCAAAATGCGTTGCAGTGCCTCAGATTGTACCTTCACAAAGGTGGGATTTTGAAAACTTCTGCACATTTGCAATGTGAGGATTTTTATTGCTTTTGTTCCCCAGGAATATCCTTGTCCATCAGATGTCAGTGCATTAAGGGCGTAGCTTTTGGGCTGGTACAAAATCTTTGGGTTGTGCAGATGAGGAAGTGCAGAAGGTTTTCGGCACTGCCTGTGACAGCTCAGCAAGGTAACGGGAGGCTGGAAATAAGAGCTCTTGACTCAGTCCTGTGTTTTGGCTGGTGGAGGGATGTCCTCTGGCTGGAAAACTTGACTTCCTTCATGACTGGGAGGCAGATATTTTAGCAGTTACGTCTTGGGACGATGGCATGTCCTGGGCAGCAGCCGCTACCTGAAGCAGGCTGGGCTTTAGCAAAGGTCCAAAATTTATGATGTTTGTAGACTTCTGTCAGCACTAGCAGCTGGGGAAGGACCTGTTGTGGCTTTTCACTTGGTTTTTGCAAGCCAGCAGCACTGCTTTAGGCTTGTTTGAGCTTTTTCAGCTGCTCTTATCTGTCTGTCTGTCCCTGAGGCTGCAGTTTGTCTGTCCCTGGGTGGTGGGAGATAAAGTTCCTTGCTTTGCCCAGGGCGGGGTGGAGAGATAGACGGTGCTTGCACTTGCTGTGAGATGTCTCTGACTATCTGGGTTCTCTTGTGACTTGACAAAGAAAAGCAGGGAGCTGCCCCCTGCTCTGCAGCTGTGCTGGGGGCTGCCACAGTCTTACTACCAGCCTGGGATGTGAGCTGTGGGGATGTGATGAAGGCTTTAATTCCTGCTCTTAGGTGGATGCTGCTGTAAAGTGGAAGTACACAGTTATCTCCTACTCACACTAAAAATAAGAATTAAGGTCATAGAATCCAAGGACTATTTACTGCAGAAGCTTTTCTAAAGACTTAACGTTGAAGCCCAAGAAATTACTAAGCATAAATTATTGCAAAATTCTAGTAGGAAGCGAGCAGTAATAAAAAAGCCTGAGTGTTTTGCCTTTGTGCCTTTTAGAAATGCAACTGAAACTGGCATCTCTTAATTGCAGCTTGTTTTCCAGGTCATCAGTTTGACTTCCTGAGTATGTAATTCTCCCAGATGGTTTGGCTTTGTGGATGTCTGACGTGATCCATGTGTATTCAGATGTTTTTTTTCTTCAGGCTTGGCACTTGGGAACCGGTGCTTTCTGGAGCCTGCGTTGTGTAGCATCAAAGTTTGAATGAAGTCCAAATCTCAGCTTTATCAAGAAATGTCAAGTTTGCTCAGTGATAGCTGCATCCAGATTTCCTGAAGTGTAATGATGGAAGCAGGCAGATCTTTCAGACTGGGGGAGCTTCTGGAGAAATAAGGAATCCTCAGCAGGCACAGGCTGCTTAAATATCTCTTGTGGACAGTATTAGGTCTTGTGGGTGCTGCAGGTGCTAACTTTAAGTTTCACAAAGGAGTGCAACGTGTATTAGGACCTGAACCAGTGGCTGCTGAGGTGTCTGAAATCTCTTTGCTGGCTTCTGTGACTGAGCCCTCAAGGTATTGCTTCCTTTTCTTGTGCCTTGAATTTTATCGTCTGACTGTTTTTTTTTGTTTTTCCTTTTTCCCTCCAGCAAGGTCAGCTTTTATTGTTAATGGTTCTGTGCCTCTAAGACAAGCTGTGGAAGTCTGAGCTATGTTTTGTCCTGCCCGTACGCCAGCAGTATGAATGGGCTTAGTAAATTCTGCAGAGTTGTGTTAGTGCTATCGCCAGTAAGACCTGGAGAGGTTCAGCCTTAACTTTCTATCTTGGGTAAAGTCTGAATGTGTAGTTCCAGGAACTGCAATATTCTTACTAGAGCTTATGGGGAACAAAATAAAACTGAATAAAACCAGGATTGTGCTCCTGGAAATGTCTTTTTGCTGCTTCACATTTTGTATTTTGTTTTTTAATCTGTTCTTTGCCTGACTGTGAATGTGAAGCTACTCAGATTGAAGGTTGTATCCCTGTTGTACTGTCCAGGATTTGTCAGCCACGCGTTATTTTTAGCTGGTTGTTTAGGATAACCTTCCCGTGGCTGCTGACTCAGTGTCATTGAGTACCAGGTGGTTAGTGCATCTTCCGACACAATCCTGCTGTGATTTTCTTATTATTTTTGGTTTCCTTTTATAGAAATGGCTTTATTAGGATAACAATCGTGTGCAGAAAATGCAGGCAATTGCTATGTATATACATGTTTGTGTTGAACAACATGTCATTGCACTTTTAATACCCATCTGATAAAGAAGTTAGGTTCTGCAGAGCAAGGCAAATAACCACTGATGTTGCAGATAAAACCCAACCAAACAAAACCCTCCCAATATATTGACTCCTAACATTCTTAACCAGCATCCAAAGGGGACGGAGGCAGAGCGCTGTGTGTGTTGGCTAATTGATTGCATGGCCCTTGATTGATGGCGTGCAATTTGGGTGAGCATCAGCTGCAATTGGAAGCTGCAGGACCGTGGCTGAAACTGTTGGTGTGCACCAGCAGGGTCCCCACGCTGAATTAGAGGCTTGTATCGACTGTGGCACTGTGTGTTATTTAAAGGGTTGGATCTGTGCCACCGGGTGTCTGAGGCAATTAACTGCTTGTCTCTGCTCAACAATCGCCTCCTTTTTTTTTTTTTTTTTTGCGAGTTCCCCTGTATCAATAGTGACTTTTAGGACAGTTTCTTTAGTTTGGTGGCAAGGCAAATAAAACCCAGTCTTGTTGTTTTCTTTCGTCACTTTTTAAATTTTCATTCTTGTGATTTTTTTCCTTTCAAACAAAGCAAAGAAGTTTGGAGAATGCTTTGGCATTTAGAATGCTTTTGTGTTCTTCTAGAAAACAATGGGGGAACTCTAGAAGAGTGTGAAGGAGGATATAGGTTAATTTGTTTTCCCACAGTCCCGAAGGATCAGTAATATGTGGGTTATAAACCCGGAGGCAGTTTGCTGACACAACATGGGAGCCCAGGTGTCCTAGCTCTGGCCCTGGCCCGGGGAGCTGCTTGGTGCTGCTCAGGAATGAAAGCTGATTTCCTCCAGTGACAACGCCGTGCTCTTGCTTCTTATGTTAATGAGCTTCAGCTTTTAATTAGGAGTAAAATGATGGCTGGTGTCTTGTTTGTTCATATCTTTTCGCACCGAAGTAGTACTTCCAAAAGGGGTAATCTAGTTCTGAGGGTGGGCAGCAGGGCAGGCAAAAGTGGTAGCCGGAGCTATTGGTTTTGGTCTAGGCTGACATTTTCATTGCCCTCTTGGAATGGATCCAGAAGCACTAGTTATTAATTGAGACTGCTTTCTAGATGGGCAGCACAGGAGATCCAAGAGCTGTTGTTAAAGATGGCTTTCAGAAACTGTTTCCTCCTCTGTCTCCTCTCTACCTTGATTTAGGATTTTCTTGCCCTTGTTTCTGATACTAGTTTGATTAGGCTTTTCTGTAAGGGAAGAAAATAGCTTTGTGCCTCTCACTACAAGAAGGACATCGAGGCCCTGGAGTGTGCCCAGAGCAGGGCTATGAAGCTGGTGCAGGGCCTGGAGCACAAGGCCTGTGAGGAGCGGCTGAGGGAGCTGGGGGTGTTTGGTCTGGGAGAAAGGAGGCTCAGGGGAGGCCTCATTGCTCTCTGCAGCTACCTGAAAGGAAAGTGTGGGGAGCTGGGGGTCGGCCTCTTCTCACAGGTCCCCAGTGACAGGACTAGAGGGAATGGCCTCAAGTTGTGTCAGGGGAGGTTCAGGTTGGAAATGAGGAGATATTTCTGCTCAGAGAGAGCAGTCAGGCACTGGGACGGGTTGCCCAGGGAGGTGGTGGAGTCACCGTCCCTTGGGGGTGTTCAAGGAAAGGGTGGATGTGGTGCTTGGGGACATGGGTTAGTGGGTGACAGTGGTGGTAGGGGATGGTTGGACCAGATGATTTTGGAGGGCTTTTCCAACCGTAATGATTGTAAGGTTCTATATGTAAGGCAAGACTGCTGTGGTGGCATTTGGAAAGAGCAAAGGGGAGAACTGAGAAGTGAAGAACTTGATGGATAGTGGTCTGAAAAGGTGTTTGGGGAGAGAAACGTTAAGTAATACTGTGTTAGCAAAAGTACTGGAAATGACATATGGCATCTCAGGAACATATCGCTGGGGTGTAGCTGAAAGCCTCTGAGCCCAGCTGTCTGCAGGCAGGGCTGCCTGCAGGATGTGATAGTTAGCAAGCAGTGGTTGCAGTGTGCAACATCCAGGCCTGTTGTAAATCTTACCTATTCAAATGGTTTATTTTTCCTGGGGGAACCAAGAATCTTTGGGGCTTTATTTGCAGCAAGTCTTGAATTAGAGGTGGTGGAACTGCAAGGAGAGAAGTAACTGAGAGATCTAGTTTTGTTTTTCAGGCTGGCAGCCTCGGTGGTTTCTTCTCTGTGGCGGCATCTTGTCCTACTATGACTCTCAGGAAGATGCCTGGAAGGGTTGTAAGGGAAGCATCCAGATGGCTGTGTGTGAAATTCAAGGTAAGTACGATACAGTGACACAACTGTACAAAGTTTGTCCGATAAGCACAGGCAGCACTGGGATGAGATTTCAGGACACAAGAGCTATTTGTTTTTATTTTGATGTTACCCTTTTGTAGTAAACCAGTAACTTGATTTATATGCATGTTTGTATTCTATGGTATTTTGAAAATGTTACAAGAGCTGCAAAGCTCTACAATAATGAATATTCTGCATGGAGGTATGTCACTGTTTCATGTGAGCTGTGGTGGGAGAGCACATCTTTAAACAATTCTTCCTAGGCACAAAGCTAATACTAGAAATATGAGTGACTCAGTACTAGGTCTGCTCACCTGCATTGGGTTACTTGCTATACCTTTGAGGTGTGACTTCTGGATGATAATGATCACAAAGCTGTCTTTCATAGCCTTTTGTCCCACAGTTGTACACACATCCTATCTATTCCCTTACTTAGAAGTAACAAAATGGCAGTGAGGGAGGTTTGGGGCTATAGATTCATACTCTCCCATTACTGTTTGACCTGCCACCTAATATCTGTTGGGATATTTAGTTGGGCTGGGAACGGCTGAAGAACTGTCCTGAAACCTGTGTTGCTTCCAGTTCATCCTGCAGATAACACACGAATGGACCTGATCATCCCCGGGGAGCAATACTTCTATCTGAAGGCGAGAAATGCAGTTGAGAGGCAAAAGTGGCTGGTTGCGCTAGGAACTGCCAAAGCCTGTCTGACAGACAGCAGGACACAAAAGGAAAAAGGCAAGAACTTCCTTTTCTGGCACATACTTTTTACTTTTTATTTCCCTATCCTTACCTTAGTAGACGTACACACAAAAATGAGAAAATCAGTACTGGAACTCTGTGTCCAACCTGTGCTTCTGGTCTTTGGAGCTACTAAACAACAAGGCATATGGGAACCCTAGCTGGAAATCTCAGGCATTAGCTCTGGCATTAGTCCAGGAATCTGAAAACTTTGGCTTTTCCTTAAGACACACCATGTATTAATCATCTGAAAACTGTCTGTTGATGGCTTCTATGAGTACAAGGAGTGACTAGCTCCTGGCTCTGGGTCACTGGGATGCAGACTGTTACTGTTTGGCTGTGTATGAAGGCAAAACTCTCACTAATCACAGACAAATTAATTTCTTTCATAATTCCGTGACTCATAAGAAAAAATTATTTCTGAAAAATCTCAGATTGACTATTAGTCATAAAGTAGCTGAAGTACTCTGTTGAGATCTAGGTTCAACAGTACAAGAAATGCGTGGACATACTGGTCCAGCAAAGAGCCACTGAGATATTTTAAGGAAATAACTGATGGGAGAGCATAAACAAGACAGAGCCAGACTCTTCTCAGTGAATTGACAAGAGGAAATGGGCACAAATTCAAATACAAAAAGCTCCATTGGGACATGAAGAAAAAATATTTTTACTGTAAGGATGATAGAGCACTGAGCAGGTTGCACAAAGAAGCCGAGTTCATCCTTGGCAGTATTCCAGACTTCACTGGATTTGGCCCTGAGCAAGCTGCTCTAGATGACCCTGCTTTAATAAGGGGAGTCAGACTAGCTGGTCTCCAGCGGACCCTTCCTGCCTCAACCACTCTGTGATTCAAGGATATATATTAAGTTAATCCATTTGTGTTTAAAAATACATGTCTTTTCCCTCCAGTATTTTTCTACTCAGAACCCTGATCCTTTAACTCACAGTGTAATTGTTTGCCCCTTAAACTACTTAATGAAAACAAAAAGATACGAAGGGCTTTTATTCTATTTAAAAAGCCTGTTGAAGTCATATGTCATGTACTTGCTTTTTCCTCTGGGTTCTAAGCCTAGCAACACACTGTTCCTGCGTATCACAGCAAACAGTGAAACATTTTCACCCGTCATGAGCCTAATTTATGGCAATCTAGCTCATTTTGGGGGGTTGATTGTAAAATGTTTTGAAATAAAGAAGTATTGATTGAATTAGATTGTATAGTATTGTTGCAGCAGCTTTCTAAAATCACATACTCCCAGATGGATACAACAAATTTAACTTATCTTTTGTTTCATTTTTAGAGTTCACTGAAAACACAGAAGCCTTGAAGACTAAAATGTCTGAACTTAGACTGTACTGTAACCTCCTTGTTCAGCAAGTGCATAAAACAAAAGAAGCCAGCATTTCTGGTGTATCAGAACCAGAGGTATGATTATTTTTTCGGCGTAGACCAAGTCTTGACTGTTCTGAACCCTTCTGGTTAGTCAGTGCAGTATTCATTCATAGTTATTTACTGTCTGTGTTACTTACCCTCTTTCTGCTGAGGACCTGTGGGAAATAGCATATCCCCACAATAGTTCTTGTTTAAATGAAGTAATACTGTATTGTTGTTGGTAATGGGATACTTCATTCTGCATGTTTTTCAGTTGAAGTAATCTTTTTTTTTGTTGTTCCTGGGATTTTTGAAGTTACTGTTATCTTCAGATTAATCTGTATCTATTTCATTTGTTTGCTTTCATTTCCCTTGTCGGTGTTGTCTACTGGAATACAACTATTGAATACATCAAAGGTTGTACTTAATTACTCACCTCTGGTGTTAAATATATTAAGATGCAGCTGTTAAAACCCAAGTCTGCTTTGCTTGTTGTAGAGAGAGGCTTATAAAAGTTGCAATGCCGTGAGGGGGCATAGCCCCAGTAATTTGTGGTGCCAGTTCTCTTATCAACTGACCCTGTGCATTTTAATTTGTGTGAAACAAGAATCATGACTATAGCAGTCATGGTCTTTGTAGAAATTAGCCACTCCAATTTGATCTTTTGTGTTGAGTCTCCGTTCCAATTGTTTTTTTCCCACAGAGTGGGATTGATATGGGAGCTCTGTTGAAATCAACCTGTGACACTTTCCTCAAGACTCTTGAAGAATGTATGCAGATTGCAAATACTGCCTTTACTTCTGAGTTATTGCATCAGACCCCACCCGGATCCCCGCATTTAGCAGTTCTCAGAACAAACAAGGTAATGACAAGTACCCTCTTCTACCAGTCTTGGCGTGCAAGGTACCATTTTGTAAAGTAGCGTTTGTGGAAGCAGGGAATTAATTTTTACTCCTACTGTAGCTAGTAGTCCTCCACTGGACCTGTTGTGGTATTTCCTGTGGCTTGCAAGTTAGGTAAGGCAATTTTTGTAATATGCACTGGCCAATCCCTTCACTTTTAATGATAGGTGAAAGCTGTTAATTGCTGACTTTCAGGGCCTGATTCAGCTGCAGACAGTGGTGTTTAAAAACATCCTGACTATATGACAGGCTGGTCCATTGTGGGAGTTCACAGCAATTACAACTCATTTATGTTACTGCAGCAGCACATCTATGTTAACATGCCAACAGGGGCTAATGAGCTTATCTTTTCAATGACAAGGACATTTTCTTGAATCGTGAATCCACAGCTACATATGTAAAATTGGAGCATCCCTGGCAAACAGCAGATTAAGGTGTGTGTGGGAAGGTAGATGCTTCACTGCCTCTGGGAAGTGAATTCACTTCACTGTACCTGGTATCTGGCTTCACATTACTTAGCCTAGTTTTTCAGATTTCTTTTTTAGGTAAAGAAAACGTCATTGCAAAGAACACCTTGCCCTAGTTTTGTTCAGGTGCTGTATGGCCTCTCACTCGGCACTTGCTAACTAGCTTCTGAAAGATGTCATTTTTTTCTCTTCAATATATTAATGTTATGATTTTGTAGCACCTTTTTACGTTTCTTTGTACAGTGCCTTTGGGTCAGAAGTAGTGAGTTTATGCTTTTCGGCTTTTCTGCTGACTGCAGTTTGGGTTTATTAAAAGTTCAAGAAACACAATACAGTCTTCTTGCTATAAAGGATGTCTCTCTACCCACTCACCCCCTCTTGTCTTACAGATAAAACACTCAGTCTTGCCCAGCCACACCTCAACAGAAAGGTATAATAAGAATTACTCTCAATCTTTCTAATCTGTTTTGGGTAGTGTCTGTTCTTTCCATATTTTTACTCTGATATTACCAGTGGTGGATACAAGCAGAACTGTATTGCACTGAGCTCCATACTTGGAAACAGAGGTAATGAAAGAGAGCTGGCTTACCTCACTTCATGCCTCTTCTTTCTGAGCCCTTTCCTTTAAATTTTTCTCTTCCCTGGCCATCCACCCAGTGAATTCCTGGCCTGTCACCAAACATTTCTCTCCACTTCAGTGCTCTTCCCTGCACCTTCAGTTCCACTCCATATGCTTGTAAAATCGTTGACAGAGGGTAGATTATTTGTGGATGAGATGGCAAGAGTGTATATTATCTATTTAAAAGCAGTAATGAAGGGATGTTGTTTTACCTACAATATATGCCCATGATTTCCTTTTTTTTTTTTTTTTTTTTTTTTTTTTGTAATCAGACTTTTCTTGATTGTGTCTCTTGGCAATGATCTTTATTAAAAATATACTCTATATATTTTGTAAGCTGAGGTTGAATAACTAATGTATATCCTACTTGCTGCAGACAGTAGGATATATGTTAACGATTCCTTTTATTACGGTAGACAAGTCACTTTTCCTCAGAGAAGCCTGTGACAACATGCAATTTCTGGCAACTATTTTTCTTGTATTGTTATCTGTGTGCCTTCACAGGAAGAAGCTTACCAAGCAGTGTTTTGTACTAACCATTATTCCTTTGCTTTCTTCAGGCAGATGGAATTGAATCCCTGTGAAAATGGTTCTGTAAAAGCAGAAATTAACCAGCAAGAACAAACCCTTATTAAAAGTCTGGCGTGTTTAAACCTGGAAACAAATGAGGAGTGCAGCGATGTTTCTGTTGAGGATCACATAGAAGAGAATCTGGCAGGTAAATATATGTGCCACCTTTTATCCAGAATTACTGTTCCTTAAGTGGAGGGAGGTTTAGGCTGCCTGCGAGTGTGCTACTAATACTTTGCTTCCCAGGAGAGGGAATGTCAGTGTGGTTTAGTCTGATATCTGCCTGTTGTCAAGTCTTCTCAGCATAGCTCCTGCCTTTGCTGACAGCTAACTTAGAACTGAATGTGGAAGGAAATTAAAAGTTTTTTAGGACAGGTGCAGGCTCCTGTTGATGTTGATTGACATGAAGAACAATACGCTGTGGCAGAGCTTCAGCTGCTCTTGGTCTGTGGACAAGCATTTCATTCCCAGAGGCCCTCATCTGGGAAAACCAGCACCTCCCCTATTATGTAGGGCTGCACTGTCAGAAGGGTACATTGAAGCTTTATGCGCCTGTGTCAGAGGCGTTGACCTTGTAGTTGCTAACAATTGTTCCAGCAAATCTATATGGAAAATAAACTCTTTTTTTCTCTTCCAATTGAGAGTTTATTAGAGAGCACCTTATTTCTTCCATTACATCATTAGTAGTATGAAAGTTGGAGTTGTGTGTGACTTTGGTAAAACAGTTGAACCAATTCCATATAAAATTCCATCCTTTGTAGCCATATTGTTAAAGGCTGCTGAACTTTAAAAGTTTCTTGTACAGACTTAATTTTATGTCTCCTCCTTCTGTTGAATGGACTGCGTTGTTCTTTAACAGGACCTTTCTCTGACTCACCGTTATTCTAAAACATCCATATGCCATCAGTCAAGCAGTTACTCTCTTTAAGCCCTAAATGCAGGGGCATTCCTTAGTATTTTGTGTGGAAGACGTTTTTTTTCTCCCTAAAAACTTCCTTCACATTTCCTTTTTTCCCTGAGGAGCATGGCTAAAGTCTCATTCCTCCTACCAGGTGTAAATGGTTCTTTTCACCCAGCACCAGGCTTATTTAGTGGTTCTACAAATAGCTTGCTTTCAGGCTTTGCTCAGAGGAAGAGACTTTGTTGCAGCTGGATCTCTTCAGCCCAATTCAATGCCACTTCAGGTCTATAAATGCTCAATGGATTTTGAAAGCATTCATTCCCTGGAGAGTCAGGGTCCCTGAGAAATTCCGGGTGTTGGTTTGGTGGTGTGGCAGGAAGATTTGCTGAGGTCCATGGCCTGTGCACAGCGGATGCTGTTGAATGTATCACTTCTGCTTCTTGACCTGTTACCTGCAGTTCTCTGTGAGGTCAGAAGGTCTTGCCGTGCATAGATGTGCCCTTTCTTTGGGTATATAAGACTTATATAAAAGTCTTCCTTTGGAGGTGCTTTTGTAGTTCTGAGTTTGTTTGAAACAGATACACTTGACCTCAAAGAAGAAATAAAATAGACCAGAGAGGGGGAAAGGAAACTGGATCTTTTTCTGGCAAACTTTCAGATGATTCTTACAAACTGGGGAGAACGTAGCAGCCTTTCATGTCATAGCAGTACCCTTCTGAGCAGTCACTGTACTTCCTTATCAAGAGGAGCAAACAAGTCCACATAGCTCTTTAGCCTCTGAAAAGGGCTGTGCCACTTGATCAGCACTGGGGCAGTTGCAACTGGGTGAGAACTACTCTTGTCTTCAAACAGATGTCTGCTCCTGGCTTGCACACAATTGGTCTGACTAATTAGAAGGAGGGGAGGGGACTGGTGTAGATGTTGTCTTAGCAGTTGACAGGAGAAGTATGGTGTCACTAACTTTGCGTGACCTAGATATCCCAATGCCTTCCTTCAGTAGAATACATCTTGAGGAACAATAATAACAATATGGGTGTGTGGCTGTTTTATCTTTTTTTTTTTTCTTCTGCTTCCCATGAATGTAAGGCATTAAAGAAGATGGAAGGAACAAGCTGCAAGCTGTAGAAGGCTTTGGTGCCCACACATTGCTGCAGTCAGAAACAAGTTCTTTAAGTGGACTGACTCTGTGTGAGGAAGATGACAATGAAAATGGCTTTCCTACCTTCTTCAGTGTCATGAGCAATAGGTAGTACATGTTGCAGATTTACAATATACAGATAATGAAATTATTAAACCTTTGACTCGTTTTCAAGTCTGTTCTGTCTGCAAAGCTGTGTTTGAGATTATTTAACAAGCATTCAGACAGCACAGAAATGGAAGAAGATACTTTTTGTAGAATCAGTTGTACAGAAGAGTGGGAGGGCTTTTTCCTTGTTTGTAATTGCCAGCAGTTATGCATTTTCTGCAGTCATTTACTTTAAATGAGTGAAACAAAAGCCATGTTGGTGGTTCAATGTCTATAAATTCTATCTCTGTTCAAATGTAGTGGGCATAAAATGTAATTTTTGTCTTTAGAAGTTGCAGAAAAGGCACTACTAAAGCTACAATCTCTCTTGCTTGTCCTGGATGCCAGGTTCAGTGATATTGAACTTCGGGAGGAAGAAGGCATACCAACAGAAGAGTTTCTGGAGTCATGTTATGCAATTGTGCCAGTTTTGGGTAAGCAGCTCATTTTTGTGCTGGGATGCCTCAGAGTCCTTTTGACTGACACCAGCTACCAAAAAAAAGTGGTTTGTTTGGAGAATTCATTACTTCTCTGAGGTGATAGAATTAATTTCTATTAGCAGAATGGACATGAATGGTACTAGATGTTTCTCATTCTTCTTCTTTGTAGAGGATCCACTCTCATTTAGATGGGACCCACGTATAATGTGTCTGGTAATCTATGGGTATATTTGGAACAATATTTTTCCCCTCAGCAGAACTGCATGGAGTGCCTTATGCATCCAGTACAGCTGACAGCACGTTATCAGCTATACTATCTGTTGTCACTTTTTTTTTTTTTAATTATTATATCTTCTATTTTTTCTTTCTAATTTCTTTTTCTTTCTATTTCTTCTTAGCTTTATGTCATTCCTCTAGTATTTTCCTACCAGTTAGAAGGATTGTTTAGACAGTAGAATAAAATCGTTGCTAAGACATGAGGATTGGAAAAATACATAATCTTAAAGTATGGCCTTTTTTTTTTTTCCTAGACAAGCTGGGACCAACTGTCTTTGCTCCTGTTAAAATGGATTTTGTAGGTAACATCAAGGTAACAGCTGATTTCTAACGCTGACTTCTTGAATGAAATACATATCTTTGCTACCAGGCCTCAAGAATTTTTGTCATGGGAGTCAATACTACAAGGCTTTTTAATATTTGATAATGTTGCTGTCAGATCAGAATGCTGAAATGTCCCTAATTCTGTCCTTACAGTACGTGCTGTGTTTAATAAATCCAACTGTTGTGCACAACCAAACTTAGAAAATACTTGGTAGACTGCCAAGTAAAAAGCCTGTTACACCTAATGAATATGACTTTGATTCTGAGCTGAAAGGATTGTAAGTCACGATGTGGTGGTATCAATATTATCTTTAGACTGTAAGACAAATGGGGAAAAAAACCTTTCCTCAGCAAAGTAGCAGCAAATCAGCTCATTAGGAACCAGCTTTTCAATGGCTGCAAATCAGAGCAGATCCTGTAGATTAGGTTCTTCTGAAAGTTCTTCTTGATTCAAGTCTGGAAAGGTTTGAAGTGCCATTTGTGAGATAAGACATATTTGTAGGAAGACTATTCATAGCTTTTTTTTCAAGGGGAAAAACAAAAGCAGAACATCTCCTGAGTGTATGATAAGGAACACTGTACGCATTCAGGTTTGTTTGGAGCAAAGTCACTCAGGAACTGGCTCTTATCTTGCTGAAAGCGGCCACTGAAACTGTGGAAATAGAAAGAGGGAATAATGCTATGTAAAAAAAAAACAAAAAACAATCCTTGACTAAGCCACTTGCTCACAGCAGCTAAGTCCTGGTGCAGATAGAACCAGGCAGTGCTGTGGTGTGAGGTTGATCCAGCAGCAATGTGATCTCTCTTGAGCTTCATACCCCCTCTAGGCTAGCCTGATGTGTCTGGGACTGTGCACACTTTGCCGGTGCACAGCCACGGGGAATGCGTGACGTGAGCCTGTCAGCTGCTCAACATAATAAGCCTGAGGGAGGAACTGATTAGGGGAGAGCTGCAATATGTTTTTGAAGGGAAGAATTGTGATGAATAGGTGCTGTGTATGGGACGGGATACTGTTTGATCTTAAAATCGTAAAGCCTTTCCTCTTGTTTTTTTTTTCCTCCAGAAAATAAACCAGAAATTTATAACCAACAAAGAAGAGTTTGATACCCTGCAGAAGATAGTGCTCCACGAAGTCAATGCAGGTGTAGCACAAGTTAGAAACTCTGCTACAGAGGCTCTTCTGTGGCTGAAAAGGTAACAGCTTCCTATCAGTTTCAACTATAAACAATTAAAGTGCAACAAGGGGCCTTTCATCAGTGTAAGCTTATTTATCAGGAGCAAACTAGTTACTTTCACAGGCTCCATCAGTCAGCCCAAATTCACTAGGTTCAAGATCACTGTATTGTCTGTAGTCATGCCACTGCATCTTTACCAAAAGGCCTAAAAAAGTGGTTGCAGACAACCCTTTTTCCATAAAAGAAAAGAACAAGTTACAGGGAATGACTGTTCCTGCTGGACCAGTACATCAGGCAGATAATTTCAGGCTTCAACACAATTGTTTTAGCAAAGTGTTTTTTCTTTGGGCTGGCAGAGAGGCTGGAGAATGTAGCTGCATTTCTTTGTTCAGATGGAAAATGGCTTTTTAATTCTGAGTGGAGATAAGCAGCAAAGATTAAGCTAGGTTGGCTCCAGAATATCCCTCTGAGATACAGAAATATGAGTTTGTATATTGAAGTTAAAACAGTACTGCAAAATGTGGGGATTTACTTTGTTACATGGTTCTCTTTTTTGTGGGCTCATCCTGACAGAGGCTTGAAGTTCTTGAAAGGGTTTTTGACAGAAGTGAAGAATGGAGAAAAGAATATCCAAACAGCTCTGAGTAAGTGCTAGTTGCTTTATTCTTCACATGATTTTACATACTTGTCTACTTTCCTTTTTGTTTCCTTTTCTCCAGTGATTAATGATGCACGTAATCTCCAATACACAAGGTTTTTTTTGAAAGTTGTAGGTTTTTTTTTTTGAAAATAGTAGTCTTTAGGCAGATTAAATAACTGGTCAATCTTGACTTGATGCCAGATAAAGATTCACTTAATTGTCATACTTCTATTGGGGAGACAGTCATATCTTCAGGGGAAAAAAGTATTTTGTCTCATTCCATTTTCTCCACTGGCATGCAGTGAGAGCATTCCCGAATTTACAGGTGATGTTTTACTTCTTCAGTTCCTTGTGAGATTGGCCATCACTCTTTGAAATCACCTCCTTGTCAGTATGTCTGTGTCAGTAAGAAGAAAGCTCATAACAGAAAAATAAATTTTTCCAAGTATACAATTTTTGTCACTTACTGAGTCAAGCTAGTGACCACAGCAAGTACGGTGCAAAACATGAAACTGTCGTAGGCTTAGTTCTTCCTGAGTAAGACTCTTCCTGTGTGCATGCAGTCTTGCATTGCAATAATACAAATTTTTTAACTTCTGATGTTTTTAATGTCCCCTATATTGTTTATTAAGGCAGAGAATAGACTTGTCAATCCTATTTGCTACAAAATACCTATTTTCCTACTTATTTCTTTGTTTTTATTACTGAATACCTTTCTCATACATTCTCTATCTCAATGTATAGAAAAAGACACATTTCCTTAGTCACATTAGACTGGTAGATGGGGGGAATACTTCAGATTACAGTAAAACTCGTATCTGACTTTTACTGACTTTATGCGCTCTTCAAGAATAACTGTCTGCAGATTTCTGAGCAAATATCCAAACACTGCAAAACAGATTTTCTTGCTTCAGCTCAAGGAAACTATAACACAACGTCTGATATTTAAAAAATCCAACTGAAAGCCAAGGATATGAAACAACAACAGTAATAAGACTCAAAGGTGTTAGTTTTTTATATAGCAAGCTTTCTGTATGAAAGTGGAGCTGTCCAGGAACATAACAAGGACCTTCGTCAAAGGCTACACTTAGGCACTCACAAGAGAAGAATGGAGTTTGTGATTTTTTTTATACTTTTTTTAAATACAGGCCCTGTGCTTTCTGTTCTGAGGGGTTAGAAGTTGACACTCAAATGTAAAGAGAAGGTTCTTGTTCAATGTCTGAGCTAGTTACATCCAGACTGAGCAGAATAGTTTCACCCTGTATAACATTTTTTCAGACTTGCACCGAACTGAGGACTAGAAAGTAGAAGAAAAGTTAGTTGTGAAGTACAGCTAATCAAATAAAAAATAAATTTGCCTTCGTGTCTACAAGAACTTACTTAACATTGATGATGTGTAGGAGAATGGCAGCAGAGCTGAGACCCCACTGCAGAAATCCCTAATTGCCAATCCTTTTCTCCTTCCTTTCATTTATAACTTTGGTGCTCAGAAAGGGCAATTACGTGCATCAAACAGTAATAATATGGTGATACAAATGCAAACTCCTTACATGTTTCTGTTTTTTCCCTTTTTTTTTTAGACAATGCTTATGGAAAGACGTTACGGCAGCACCATGGTTGGGTTGTCCGTGGGGTCTTTGCGGTAAGTGCTCGTCTTAGTTTCTGATAGAGCTGGGGGTCTTGTTACTGAGATTTTCTGTTAGTTTTAGTTAACAAATGGTATTAAAATTAGAAGCATTACAATTAGTAGGTTCCTTTTGTCAGATCTTATCTTCAAGGTGAGGATTGTAGCTATCACTATGTTTAGTATTGAGCTTTCGGGGCGGAGCTCGTTTTCTGGAACCAAAAGAGAAGAATTACTTTTTGCATGTGTGTTGTTCTCATTATGTGTTTTGCAGTCTTGTGGGGGCTCTTAAAAGAAGTGAGATTTTTAGTCTGCTAATTTGAGGATTGCTCTCTCTCTGGGGCATTAGCATTCAAGAAGAACTGATGTAGATGGTGTCAGGGAGTTCAAGCAGAATTTACAGACTAGAGATGGTTTATTTCTTGTCCAATCTAGCAGCTCCCCCTTGTGTCTGTCACTGGAAACTATTATTGAAACTGTAAAAGGAAAAACAAAAGCCTCAGCCAATTGATTAAACAGAGACTGACTTGGAGAAGCAGGAATGTTGAGGGGGAGAGCTTTCTGAAGAGTATTTTGAACATGGGACTGCAGTGCAGAAGTGTGTGACGCTGGGCTGGGAGCTCCCCTAACAATCTAGAATTCATTTGGGTTTTGTATTTAATTTCTAATATTTACTCTTTATTTGTACAAAATACAATATACTGACACTTCCTAAAAATCAGGCACCTCTGAAGATGTCTTAATTTCCGTGTAGACCTTCAGTTTAAAATCTTTGTTTTCCTCTCCCAGTTAGCTCTAAGGGCAGCTCCAACATACGAAGACTTTGTAGCAGCTCTGTCCGTAGAGGACTGTGATCCTCAGGAGGAAACATTTTACAAAGGAATGCAGAGGGACCTCAACATTTACTTACCAGCCATGGAAAAGCAGCTAAATATCTTGGACACTCTCTATGAAGTACATGGTTTGGAGTCGGATGAGGTTGTATGACTACAGCAAGCCAACATCTTAAAACTTCAGGGACTGTGTCTGTTAACAAAGATTTTTTTAACACCATTTCTGTTCATTGTAGCTTTTCAGGTGGGAAGGGTGTGAGTGTTTTGGGGGAAAGGTATGTATGATTTTTATTTTTTGATGTGCACATTTTGTGTTTAAATGCAGAGGTACTGTTTCTCTTTGGGTCGTAACTATAGCTGTGATGAATGTTTTTGACTCTTTCCTCTCCTGCCTCACCCCCTGTTCCCCTCACCTCTTGAAAGTAGCAGAGCAGAATTTGCCCTTTGCTCCCTCACTTTACACGGGAGCCACATATGCAGCAGATCGGTCGTGGTGTCAACACGGAGCCTGAGCAGGCGCTGCTGGCTTGGATCCTCCCGTGCCCTGTGCTGCTCACTGTAGTGAGCATTACTCTTACCCTGGTAGCAAAGAGAAGGGCAGTTAAATGCCAGTTCATTGTCTATGCTGTGAGTTTCCCTTAATTTGGGTTGAAGCTTTTTTTTTTTTTGCCTCCACAAATAGAGGCGATCTTCATCACAAGCACACACGGCTGGTGATCAAGAGCTTCCACCAGGAACCAGCCTTTGAAACCGGGCAAAGGGAACTTTGTGTTCCCTCCCAGCTACCAATATGTGCTGTGTTTTTTTTTCCTTTCAGCTCCTGCCAGTGGGCCAAATGTACAGAAAATTTCTCCTAGTGCCCTCCACAGCAAGAGGATGCTCGAGCTGTGGTTCAGGGCAGCCTGCTGCACCATTTAGCGTAGTGCAGGAAGGAGATGTGTACACATGACGAGTGGAAGGAAGGCCATAAGCACGAGGTGATATTTTTTCTGCACTGGTACCAGCCCCAGTGCTGTGGCTGGTGAGCCAGAGCCTTGGCTGGCACAGACTGGCAGAGCCCAGCTAGTTTCAGTAGTGCTTTACACAAGCAATTGAAAATCATGTCTATCATCCTGGTTTATTAAAGTTTTGTGTTTTTTCTATATTTTGGGCTTAGGGTTTTTTAAATTAAAGTCATACAAATATAATATTTGCTTTTAAATTGAATGCAGCTAGCAGTTTATAAAGCAGATTTCATTAAAGTCCTTCAGGCTGCCGTTATAGGCAGGACTCCATGAAAGTGGACATGAAATAGTGACACCTAGAGGAAGCTAGAATTTGTCACTGAGCCATTACACATCGGGCGAATTACAAACCTTAAAACCTGAAATTATGCAGAAGTGACCTGAAATTAAGAAAGTAAGATTTGGTGGGTTTCTCCTTCTGCTAATATCAATTTAAAAATGTGCTCCTTAGCACTGCTGTTATTAGAAATAATAAAGAAGTCCTTTTAGTTAGTGATATGGTTATGGACGAAATTCCTACTTGTGTTGAAGACTAGAACACTGCCTGTGAATTATTTACTGCCAGTACAAGGCGTAAGTGGGTCTCTCAGTAATGAGGTAGGGATTTGGATAGCTTTGTCCAAAGAGATGAGCTTTGCCCATGTAGAGGAGGAGATAAGATTGTGCTTACGAGGTACTTAAACTTAGTAATGACTTCATAAATACAGGAGAAGTTTCATTGTTGCTGTACTCACAGGAGAAATGCTAGCTTTTGCTAGGCTAAAAATTAATTCTATCTCAAATGAATGTACTGCAGGCCTGCAGCCCTGCTTTGTTCTGAGATGGGAGCCTCTCTGCATGTTTAATACTTGATCCTTTCAAAGGAGCCCAGCATTGCAAGCTTTAAGAAAAGCATATGATGCTTGAAGAAAAGACCAAACGCCACACTAGGTGCATAAAGCAAGATACTAGGACTGTAATTAGGTATTTAAACAGTGTCACTTTCTTCTTCCTGTTATCTCTGAGTTGTGCCTATCTGTAGTTTCTACATGCAACAAGGAAGAATCAAAAGGATGTATAGGGCTTTTAATTTTTGGAGTTTTCTTAATTTAAGTAGTGTATATTTATGTTAGAATATAAAGTAAGAACTTTTGACCAAAGCTCCATTAAATTATTTCTCTACTTGCAGTGCTAAAAAGGAAGCAGAGAGCCTTCAGAATTTGGCTGTCTGCTTCTTGAAAGCATGAATGCAAAAAAAAAAAAAAAAAAGAAAGAAAAAAACACCCACGCCTACAGCAGAACAACCAGCTCTCCACCCCGTGTGGTTTCCTCATGGCTTTCAGCTATTATGAGGGAAACTTTGCTATAATAGGTCTTAGCTGAGTGCTCTGAGAAAGCAATAGAGACCACATTGCCACCAAATCAGTTGGCGTATGGGGACAGCAGGAACAGATCACTCTTCTCTCAAAAATGAATTGCAAGATCATGTTTTTGCTGTAAGCTTTTCCAGTAGAAGGAAAATAAATCTAGCACTTAAGGGCTTGGAGGTTTCTTGTTTTTTTTTTTTGTTGTTTTTTTTTTTAACTAGCGGGAGAACCACTGGTTTGTTAGTAGCGTATCAAACCCAGTGTTTGATGCAAAAAGTGAAGAAGCTTTATTTTGTAAGCAAAGAACTTAACAGCTTCGTTGGGCCACTAACTTCAGCAACTGCTGACTTCTACAGTTCTTCTTTCTTCTAACAAGCAGATAGCAGTCCACATGGCATGTCCTCTAACCAGTGTGGCATCCTGCTTGAGAGCAGGCTTTCTCTGGCTCTGCTGTGTAAAGCTGGTCTTTCCGAACTGTGGAATTGGTGCTTGAGGACGTTCTCGGTAGCTTCAGGAGACCCCCGTGTCCTCATTGCTTAATAAGGGATTTTCAGAGATGGAACTGAGCAAGGTCTCCTTGCCTTCAAATCCTGTACTTCACCACGCACTGTTCTTGCAGGATGTTGAGCACTTTGAAGACTTACAGATGCTACCTTTCCAGTCCTGGCACCACTGAGAAAGAAACCCTGTACTTTTATGATGTCAGTCTGGCAAGCACAGAAGGTTATTCTTGCTTTTCAGGATTGTAAAGGATAAGCAACTAACTTCTGGCCTTCAAATTTGGAATTGGGAAAGAGGCGGGTGGGTTTTGTTTGATTTGTTTGGTTCATTGATTGTGGGGGAGTGTATTTGTTATTTTTCTCTAATGGCTGAGGTTATAAACAACTGATCTGCATACTTATCTTGGTCCACGTGACTCTCAGATAACAGCACCCTTGCTCTGTATACTTGACGTGAACTGCTTTATTTTCTTAAAGTGCACTAGTCTGAAGTTTTTGCATCCCTTTCCTTTAGAAATGCTTTCGGCTGTTTCCTTCAATGTCCAACAGTTGCGTATTCTCAGGGATTTTACTTAGCCATGGCAAAATAAGAGTAATCACAGCCTTACCCTAGGGGAGTAAGAGTGTTTTGTGAAATTAGTGTGGCAGGGTACAGAACTCTGTACAGCATATGGCATGGACAAAGTCTATCCAGTGCATGTCCTTGCTGAGACATGGTAAATCCCAAAGCAATCTGATCAAAGTGCTATCTAGTGCTGAATAATGGCTGTCAGCAGATTTTAACATACACACACCTTTGTAATGTAGTGCTGTTGGCATTAGAGCAGAGCTCCCAAATAATTTCAGCAGAGTTCTGCGTAGCGATGTGAGGCTTCTATTTATTTTATTTATTTTGTATTTCTTTTTAAAACAAACGATGTTCTGGAGCCCCCCTCTGCTATTTTAAGACACCATACTCAGTTGCATAGTGAAGTTCTGTGACATTACAATTGTAGAGTATGACCTGGACGCTCGGGTGCTTTAGTGTTCAGGAGTCGTTGAAACATCCTGTCTTGATGCTGTCGTACTACGGGTCTCCCTTCAACAAATGCACTTACAGTTGAGGGCCATATACCTTCAGTTATGAACTTTTTGTAAAGCATCATCATGATTTAGGTTACAGTTTGCTTTAAAAATGTTTCATAGTTTGAATATTGTCACTTGCTTGGCTGGCCGTATAAAAAGTGTGCCCAAAATGTGCTCCAGTTGTTTGCAACGTGCTTTGACAAAGGGACATAGACCACTATAGAAGACTGTAATCTATGTGCACATGCTGGACCCTCTAACCCTTTCTTTTTATTAATCAATTCAGCTTTTGTGAAAAGCTTTAGAGAACCCTGAAATGCCTTTAAGACACCAGAAAAAGATCATTAGCACATTCCTACCTAGCTGTCTTTCCCTCTTTCCACCTGTTCCCCACCCTTTCCTTTCCTTCTATTCATCAGTTTGTTTGATGCCAGATATGTTGCTGTCCAGCTGAAACCCCTCTATAAAAGTGTGAAACAGGAGGTTTTGTAAGTCATAAAAATGTAAGCTTTGAAAAGCAGATCTGAATTCAGCAGCAGGTAACCAAACACAGTCAGGTGGAGAATGTACTGCTTTGTCTTCGAAGCTTTGCCCTGGTCTGCCAGGAAAATCATACCACTTTTAATTTCACTGATGCAATTTAAATCAGGACACTTCAGAATTGGTAGTTCTAACTTTTACAAGTGAAAACACTTTATATTTTAATTGGGCTTATGTCTCTTGCATGCATAGTACTGAAAACAAAAAGAAAAGGGGGGGGGGTGTCTAAAAACCTACCTTGGTGAACAAACCCTGCAAACTTCAATGTCCTGCCTGCTCTGAGTAATATAAAATCACCCATGAGCAGAGGGGGTATCAGAGCACACTCGCTGGATTGGAGTAAGCCCATACAGCTACTCCCAGTTCACACAAGGATTTCAGCACTTGCTTTGAAGGTAGAGCATAGGGAGATGTTTCACTTAAACACACACTCTGTTGCACTGGCATCTGTTTCTTCAAAATGTGGCCCTTGACTGGCATTTTTAAATATCCCTTTCTTGGTATAGTATTCCACCCACCCCCAGTACTACCCCCATGTGCTGAAGAGCTTTTTTTCTTTGATTCCTTTATTTAGTGTTACCTTGACAGTTTGTGATTTTTGTCTACTTGAAACTAAACAAGTAAATTGCATTCCATAACATGGTGACTAAACTGAAAACCAAAGCGGCTTGCTTCTGTGGTTTCCATTCTTCTTTTCTTTCACTTCTCAATCCAGTTTTGGGCATTCGTTTTATTAATGTCAAGCTGAGCTTACAGTGAGCCTTACTTAGATGAATACATTGTAAGATGAAGAGAAGGTATATTGCCTCACCCTTTAAATTTAATTGTAAGGGCTTGTTCATGCCCCCAAAATCACCTCCTCCAGTGTAAGCATTGCACAAATCGTGCTGTCGTAAGCAGCTCAGTGTTGAAGTACTTTGGAGTTTCCAGTCTGCATCATTTCTCAAATCACACGGCATCTGTCTGTTTTTTCTTTCGGAGTATTGTTAAGACCTTTGACAGACTTTTATATTATTTCGTGATAATAAACTTATTTTAAATAAGCATGTTTTAAAATCTCATTTTCTCCTTGCATGGATTTTGTTTTTTTATCGAAACAGAGAGCCTAAAGTGCTCTTCAGGACTGCATCTGTTCTAGGTACTGTGTGAACAGTCAAAAACAGTATGTTTCTGGTTCATAGAAACTACCTGTATGTATCTTTGTACGAAGAATGTTAACACATGGAGCCTGTTTTGATTACAAGAATAAAAGCTGCATCTGCAATGAAGTTGTGGTTCCTTGGCCAATGCAAATAGCTGAAGGCTGTAGTTATAAAAGCCGGCCCGTACTCTATGTCCTTCTGCCTACGCTCCTGTCTCTTCAGGAGTCTCTGAAGTCTTTGAAATCTCCATGGTCATTTTGAGAAGCTGATGAAGACCAATGCCAGAGCTTCAGTGAGGGTTCTGGCAGGAGCCCCACACTCTGCATCTCTCCACACATCTAACCTGTTGGTGCTGAGCTGGTGGGTAGCTGACATCGTGGTGAGGGTGAAGGAGTTTAGATGGCAGGGTACACTCAACTCCTGACTTTCCAAATTAATGAAAAAGGCTTTTCCAAATTTTGTCACGTTCTTCCAGTCCACTAACCTTCACCTCCTACCAGCCTCTATTACTTTGCTCCTGTTCTGGGTGCAAGGTTCAGTAAATTTTCTTCAGGATCTTTTTGCTGCTTATCCGCTGCTAGAGCAAGGAGTCACCAGGCTCCTGCTCCAGCTATGGGCTTTCCTCCAAAATAATCTCCAATTAATTTAGCATCTGTTTCCAGTGCTGGTGTTGTCAGCTCATCTGTAGCCTCCAGAGACCAGACGTGCCTCGCATAGTTTCCTATAGGTCACGGTTTTCCACTCGCTTCCTTGCCTGGCAGCTGGTACCCGGCCTCCTTCCCGCGGGCGCGAGGAAGACCTGTGCCGTGCCGCCCAGCACCGTGTGTGTCCCCGTGCCCTGACACTTGAGCTGTGCGCTCAGGTGTTCAACGCTGGCTGGCACACCACGTCCCGCACATCGGGTGGCAGGCATGTTTCCCAAAAGCCACAACAAAATGCTTTGTGTACACTACGGGGTGTTGTGGCTGTCTGCAAATCCTGCCCTGTGCCCATCACGGTGCCAGCGAGGGGCACGCACTTGGCCTTAAGGAGTTGTCCCCTTCCCAGGGGAACGCTGAGCCTCCCGGTCACCCACTGACTCCTGCAGGGACATTTCACTATTGATTTTCTTCAACCCAATTTAATAAATGTCCTGCCCAGTGTTATAAGGATTCATATTCTCTCACCTTTAATTTACGCCATGGTGTCAGGGCTAGTTTTGCCCAAAGTAATTAAATATTAATTTACAATTTCTTCAGCCTTTATTATCATCAGGCAATCAAGTCATTTTCTTATGCCCTGAGCAGCTGGTGAGTTTGGAGTTGTTCTCAGGATGGGGATCATTCCTCTGTCCACGTTCATATTGCTTTATGCAGAGCATCTCAAAGGGAGCGCTGCTTTCAGCTATGAGAAGAGTCAAGCTTTTTGACACAGACACTTAGAAACATGCCCAAGCAGGATGTTCCTGCATGAGCACAGCTTTTCAAAAATAACCATTTGTTTGCTGGGAACGTGGCTGCGGTGTCCTTCCAGCACCACACGCCAGCACAGGCCTGCATTAAAGGGCTTTTGCTGGGGGCTTCAAAGTTTGGTGAAACCAAGAGCATCTGGAGACCTGCCATAGTTTATATCCCTAAATAAATGTCATACAGAGCTGATCATTGCCATGAATCAGAGGTGTCAGGAGCGTGTCCTTCAGCCTCAGCGCCCACATCCAGTTGAGCCGTAGGCAGTGGGAATTCCTTCCACCCCGAAATGCCGAAGCCACGCATCGGCCCCTTTGTATGACAGAAATTATGAAGCCTCCAGCCTTCGTGTATCGATGTGCTAAGCAAAACAGACCGCCCCGCAGTGAAACCTGGCCACGGATGTGCCAGACAAGGACTAAAACCCAAGCCGCTTTGTATCACCCACGTTGGCACTGCAGAAACCCCACTGATGATAAATTGCTGACAGCCTCTTGACACCTGGGACAGGCTGACCTTTTCCGTGGGGAGCTTTGTGCTTTTTTCTGCCAAGCCTTCAGCCTGGCTGTAAAATGGAGTGGGTTTGTGAAGGGAGGGAGGCTTTGCCTCTTTTCTCTGTGCCCAGGGCTGGGTGCTCTGGGGCTGTGATTCGACATGGCACGGCTGCGAAATGCGGGGTATTTTAACATTTACCCACAGTTTCTTCTCTGTGGCACTCACCACACGGCACCTTCTTCCTTTAGTGCCTCAGGAGTCCGATGAGGCCACAACAGGCCGCTGGGCCGTGGCGTTAGGCAAAGCCATCGGCCTGCCATGAGGCAGGGCCAGCCACCACTGCTGGGCTCGCTGCTGACTGCTCCTTGTGCTGGGTTTCTCCGGCAGGGCAACCAGACACCTTTAGCTCGTCCAGGCAGCCTAAAGCAGAGCCTGTTTGTCCCAGGCAGCAACAGGTACAGATCTCCGTGGCTTTATTTAGCTGCTGTAATCCCGCAGCATTTCACACCAGATGTTGTCTGCTCAGAAAGCCCTGGCACCGACCTTGGGTTCACCCCAGCGGTCCCAGGCTCCTGCTCTGTGGTTACTGCTGGGGTTTGAAGCTGCTCTCTGAGCAAACAGCAGTGAAATATCAACTCGCCACTGTGGCCACAGGGGGTTGTATCCTTTATCCAAACACACTGGAGCACCACAGCTTAAATCTTTTTATTGTATTTCACAGTCAACTTCCCTGTGCTTTTTGGCCCATAATATACGCAGCTCCCATCCCCTGAACTGTTTCTTACCCCCAGATTGGTCACCTTTCCTTTTAAACTCAGAAGCAGCTCAAAATCCAAGCAGGCCTCAGCGTTAGCTTTCCAGGCACATCGTGGCCCTCAGAGCAGTAGCACCAGGTAGGTGTGAGAGCTGCCGGCTAAGCCAAGGGAAGTTTACAAAAGAAATACTATTGCCATAAAGCGCCAGGGCTGGCAGGTTCCCCTACATGGTTGTTCCCTCCTTTTTCCACCACACATTTGCCACCTTTCTATTCCTATTGCTCCAACAAGACAGATTCATGGAGGGCTCCTCGTTCAGTACTGGGTAGGAAGGCTGTGGCAAAAGACATCTCTTTAAACCCCATTTTCTTTTTCTTCTTCAGAAGAAGAAGGTTGTTTTTGCCCTCGGCACACCGGCCAACATGCACACATCCGAACAGGCTCCTCCATCAGACACACGGGAAGCTGTCAGGGAGAATTAAGGGCACAGGCAGGATGGGACTGTAACTCCAGGCTTTTTCAGCTCCAAGATTTGGGTTGCAGGAGAGAGGGAAGCAGGCACTAATGTGATTTCCAGCAGGAGTATGCTCCTCTAATGCAATTTGGCCCAGCTCCCCTTCCGGCTGGAGCCTTTGCTCTGCTGGGCTGGTGCAGGTCTCTCCCCACCACGTGTCCCCATGCCCCACGCCATACACCCAAAGAAGGGCTTTGTTCCTTTTTCCCGTTTAGGTGGGGTCTGGCAGCTCTCAAAAGCTGCACAAGCCCAATTGGAAGTTTATACTGTGCTTTTCCTTCCCAGCATCTTAAACTGGGCAATTATATTAAAAAAAAAAATAGTTGCAAAACACAAGAGGAAATAAGTGAAAGTAAGGAAATGCCAGAATTAAGGTGGCATGATTTATTGACATGAGCTGTTAATACATGCAGTAGGTAACTACATATATTTAATCACATACTAAATGCAAGCTGGCTTTTTAGTATACATTTAATACAGCGCACAATGCAAGCTCGTACTCTTTCTGTATTCACCTATGGCTCCATACTAATGATTAGAAAACCTTCCCACAGGCATTCGTTCCTACAAAAGGCCAAGGAACTGAAATACCTCAGTTAACTTTTGAGCTATATTTGGCTTAACACATTAAGAAACTCAGACAAGGAGGGAAGATAACTCAGAGCAGCCCAGGCACCGTCCAGCTGAAGAATCCCAGGTAACAATAAAGCAGGTACATCTGAAAAAGGAGGAAGGTTTTTTTACAGTCTTTTATGTCACAGATACTTAACACCTTCCCAGATGTGTTTTTTAATGCTCTATTGTCTGAGGGGAAGAAGAAATCATTTGTAGTAAGAAAATTGTTCCAGTCCTTTTTTTTTCCTTGTATCTTCTGTTCCTTTCCTTTTGTTAAGATGCTGAATTGTTTGTGCTGTATTCATAAAGTCCATTTAAAATCCACACTTTATAAATGTTTTCTGATGCACACCTTCCTGGACACATGCAGCACATGACAATCCTACATAAGTTATCTCAACTCCTTTGTATGTTTCCTGCCCTTGATGTGCTCGGCTTTACAACCTCTTTTGCAGGTACGAGCTTTAAAAAACACCAGGACTTAAGGCTGGACTTAAAATTTCTCCAGGACTCCAGCCTTTTGGGGGCTGCAAGTAGAGATGAGCTCCTTGGAGAAGGCAACAGATCCCACTGGGATAGTGTGGTGCTGCTGAAACCCATGGCTTGCACCAGGGCAGGAGACTAAAAGGCAGCTCTTCTAGCGCATGGACTTCCAGAGCTTATGCCATATTCCTTGCCCCATTGGTTCCTTGGCCTTTTATTAAGACCTCTGATTAAATTTTAAAAAGCCACAAGAAGTGTTGTGAACTAGTGAACCGGGCTGCAAATGGTGGTGGCTCAGCTTCGCAGCAGCACAAACAGCCCAGGTAAGCAATGGCCACAGAGTACACTAATTTTGTTTGTCTTTCATTTAATTGATGATTTCCAGTATCACATTGGACATGCAGAGTTAAAATCTCCTATACAGCTGGTAAAAGTTGTATGTATTTCTCGGTTGCTTTAATGCATTACCATCACAAAGTAACACCCACCTTTATTTAACCTTTACAGAAGTGACTGTGTAAGTGCAGCTGTCGTTGTTACAAACAACTCACGCATTTCAAACATTCAAGTGCAGCATTTAAGGCAAAGCAGAAAAGAGTGGCCTGTATGAAAATAACACCTTGATTTGAGGCTCTTAGTCCTGAATTCTGCACATCTCTGCACCATTTTCTTCTGTTATGAACTGTTTTGCACATAACGTATTTAATATGTAAAATTTACTCTTTAATGCTTGCTAATAAATAAGTATATAATTACCCTGACTCCTATCAGAGCTAACAGAGTTGACCGAACCTGTGAAAAACAAATATATATATGTACATTATACAGCATGAATCAGCACCCACAAACACTCTAGGCCGGGATTTGTTTCACAGAGATACAAAAGTGAGGAGGCACACTGGGGTACTCCAGACACGATGGCAGGAACTGAGAGCAGTCGAGAGGGGTCAGTGCACGGGGAGAGAGGACAGGGCGCAGCTGGCACAGAAGGACGAAGATCGGCTGGACAAGGGGAGGAGAACAACGAGACCTTCCAGTACAGAAACCGGAGTGAAGGCCACGTGTACATGGCCGTGTTGAGGTTTCAGGAGGGCAACCAGCACTGCCCCAGTCTCTTTGGGCTCATGCAGAACGCAACCAGCTTGGCAAAGGTGTAAAAAAGAAATAGGCTCATCCTGTGTCACCCTTTGTTTGGCCACTCCGGCCTTTGTGGTCTGCAGGTTCAGACCCGGTGAGACAGCTCACATTTCTGTGGATGGGTGCAGATAGATGCAGCCCAAATTCATTGCCTGGAGGTTTTTTGCCCCATCTGCTGGTCTGTAAAGCACTTACTGAAAGACCCCTGCTCGTTCAATCCACAAAGGCGTGCAGCTGACCTTAATGCCGCTGAAGTCATCATCACTCACGTCGATACAACACTTAGGAAGTTCACATTGTAATAAAAGAGAAAGTCTCTATAAACACCATGTCCAAGATACACTTTGTGTTTATGCTGAGAAGGTTGAAAAACAAAAACCCTGAAGAACTTAGATTTAGGCTGAACAGTGCTAAGTCGAGGTAATGTTGTCTTGATGTTGTCTTAATGTTGTCATGATGTTCCTGGTTAGTGACATTCAGTTTCCAGTAGCATTTGTGATAGAGCAAGTTCCCACACACAGCCACCCAAAAGTCTTACTGGCAAACACTGTTTGACATTTCTCTATTAAGACAGGATGCAGTGGTCCTATTTTTTCCCAATCCAACTTAAAAAAAAAAAAAAAAAAAAAAAAAAAAAGACAAACATCTCAAAATGGCCATCAGCAGCATGACATCTGTTTGTTTGTTTTTCACACAGAAGTGTTTTTTTTTTGTCTTCTTCTTCTTTTTTTTTTTTTTTTTTCTCTTGTTCCAGTCCTTCCTGGATAGATGATAGCGTAGCACCTAGCACCCCATGACACATAGGATGCTGCCCACCTCTGCTCCCCTCATGTGAAGTATCGACACTGTGTGGAGTCGATGTAGCAGTAAGAAGTGCATCGCAGTTTTCCGTAAGACCTAAAATAGAAGAGAACATCTCAGTTCCAATACGCACCATAGCTCATGTTACATGGTTTCTGGATGCAACTCTCTGTAGGAATCAAGAACATCAGAAAATACCAAGTGAAGTGACATATGGCAACCAAAATTGGAGGATAATTTCCAGCAGTGCTCTGCTGTTCTCCCCCTTGTCAGCAAAATAAGAGCCCAAGAGAAATGAAGAGTGAGGTTTTAATTCCCCATAATGTCGATTAAAAATACAAAAGACATCACTGCACAGGGGTAGGTGCAGGAGGCCTTGGCGCTCACCCATGAGAACTGTGTAACCAAATATCTGAGGATCTGTGTTTTTCTAGTTACTTACACTAGTTCCAGCAGGCATGACTGTGCCTGCCTTTCCTTTAACTTATTTTTCATGCACTTGATATAATGATAGTGACAGACACCGACCTTCAAACTGAAAAGAGGCCTTTAAAAAGGACCCTTGCAAAATAAGGGAAAACATTTGTTTTTTTCTACTGACTTATACTGAACTGCAAGGATTGTGCTAACTGAAGACCTGACCAGAGGTGTTGATAAAAATAAATAAATAAAAATAATAATTTTGATGACTTTTTATTGCTACCATATGTCCAGATGAATAACCCACCCATCAGATAATCCACAAGCTGTAGAACAGGTCCTTAAAAATGCATCCTTGTATAACCCACATTCTCAGAAAAACAACAAAAAAAAATCTGAAGTGAATGTGTGTGAAATATGAGGAGGAATTTGAGAGCTGGAAAGAGTAGAAAATGGGAAAATCAGCTGCAGCAGAGCTCTTGGAGAAGAGGGTGATGTTGGGGCGAAACTCCTGCTGCAGTGCTGAGCTCACTTACTCGTCCCACTTTGCTGATGAGTCACGGCTTTTCCTTTGATTTGGCAGATAATCTGCAGGCTGCACGCACAAAGATAAAGGATCTCAGTTGCTCTTCACAACTTGATTATACATGGAAAATAGAATTTATAAAAATTTCTCAAGCTTCTGTGGGACTCTATTTTTGGCAGCAACCTTAAGACTCTTAAGATGGAAGAGCTTTCACAGGAGAGTAGCTTCACACTGTCTGCAGATGGGAGCTCTTTAAAATGTTTCAGGCTGTCAGGTTTGCTAGTCTCGGTTCTAGTAATCTCTTACACCAGGAGTGCTCCAACAATTGCAGTGGAAGGATTAGCACAGCACTTGATTTACAAAGATGTCCTGTGGGTTCTTATTCCTGTCAATTAGCACATTATTCTTCCATGAATGATGAGGGCTCTGCATATAATTTCATTTGCAAATTAAATGTTTCCTGTTATCCAGTAACAATACCTGACAGTTAAATAGGAGGCGAAATGCTGACCAGAGGAAGCTGTTTAAACAAAGGCAGAGAAGGCAAGTCAACAATAAGCAGATGTTTGAAATGAAGGACATTGCTAAGCAGATGTATGTCTTTGCATCTGCTGCAAAGTCAATGAATTTTCTGGTCTTTGGAAAGGCTGATAAATGAAAGGTAGATTCCAAAACAAAGATATCCCTAGAGCTCTCACTCACAAAAAGTCCAGGAGTTTGTTTGGAGGCTGTGGTTTGTTGTGTTTTCTTTTTTTCTTCCCTTCAGTGTAATCATCTCTTCATCATGGTCTATCCTACTCTAGGTAAGTTATGGGAATTAATGTAATGAGAACATCACCAAGTGAGGAAATCTTTGCAAGCAATGGGTAAACATGCCCACATGATCCTTCACTTTGTACCATAGAAAGCATGTGAGACTGAGAAATGAGATTCAGCCCTTAAAATCAATAACGTACAGAAATAATCTGGTAAGGTCTTTCTCCACCACTTTCTCTCCACCACTGTCCCAGTGGAACAAGGCTTATGTGGGTAGTCCTTTTCTCTTTTAATGTTGAAGGTGAAGTAAAAATAACAAACCAAAGTGCAGACCCTTCATACATACCCAGGGAGATATGTTTTACATGTCAAATATCCAAAATCCTTCCCATCACAGTCTTCAACCCCCTCATGTCTGTAGCCATCTCCACAGTAAGCACGGCGACATCCTAGTGAAAAATAGAGAAAGAAATATCTTCATAAAACTTAATGTAGAAAGGATCTTGGAGACAGAGGCAAGTGGAACTACATTTTTAAGGGTAAAGCATAAACCAAGGCATTTTGTGGAGCACTTGACTGGAATGTAGTGATCTGTGGGCTGTATTTTAACCATTGGACTTTGCTTTTGATGTCTTCAACTTTCTGAGTATAAATTGGGAACAAATTCATTTAGCTAAAATCCCTTTGATATCTCCTCAGAGACACTATTAAGCAATAGATTAAAGGGACATTCAAAAACAGGGAGTTTACACAATTTAAGTGGGTCATTTACAAATGGAAATGATTAATTGATTGCAATGAGGACCTGTTTGCTGGAGATTAATGCTTTTTAGAACAACAAGCCTATTTATAATTAAATCCACTTACCGTTTGGTTGACCTCTTTTGATAGAGTCACGAGATCATAAGGATGACAATATGGTCATATTCAAGTAATTTGTGGCACTAAGGGACATGATTTAGTGGTGGGACTCAGCGGGTCACATTGATGGTTGGGTTTGATGATCTTAAAGTTCTTTTCCAACCTTTATGATTCTATCATTCTGTAATTCAGTTAAAACTCTTCAGGTCACATCAGTGTCTGAAATTCATGTACTGCAAGGCCTCTGTGGACCTGGAGCTCTACCCAGTGTACAGCACAGAGCATTATGATGGGCTTCCAGATGCACAACATGCAATCTCACAGGCACTAGAACTAATGAGCACTATTTTTCCTGCATGTTTGTTCCCCATGGTTGATTGCAAATTCTAATTGGATAATTTTCTCATGCTTGGAGCCTGGAGAGCTCACTCTCACTGGATTGCTCTGTAGTCAGGCAAGCTTAGAGGGACATTTATTTATACATCTATGCTGTGGGGAAGAAGCTAAGTGGTGAAAACAAGGTAACTGAAAGGTGCATGTGAAGGCTGTGATAGCTGCTTGCATGCCAGGCTTATACTGTGTGCTCTTCTGTGCTCTTTGCTGTTGCTGTCCACAACCAGCAAAGAAAGAGGGAGATGGAGTAGACAGGAATCAAATGTTTTGTAAAGCTAACAGTGAAGGCAGTGAAGGCTGTAACCTTCCCTATGCAGGCGAATAATAAAACCCAAAATGGTTTTACCGGAACCAGGATATGACATTTTATTAATCTAGCATCCGTAGAAAAATGAATGGCTGTCCAAAAAAAAAAACATGTAGAAAGGCAAATATCACACTGAGCACTTGAACTACCAAAAATCATCTGTTAGGGTTTTAAACTGATGGAAGGAGACAGCTCTAGTGCCTGTCAGAAGTGGTTTTGAGGTTCACTGAATAGGTATGCTACATATATTAGTCAGAAAGCCAGCTTCCCCCTGGAAGGTTCACAAATAAAACAATGTCTGGATCTGGTCCCTGGAACACAGGGGTTTTACTCTGACTGCAGATACCTCTGTGCAGACAGGGACATGACCATAGGATCACAGAATCATAGAATCACACTGGCTTGGGCTGGAAGGGCCCTTAACGATCACCCAGTTCCAACCCCCTGCCATGGCAGGGACACCTCCCACTAGACCGGGTCTTGATGAGAAACATTTTGAGTTACTTCTGTCTTGTGCTTGTGTATGGCATCTACATGCACAAAAGATCACAATTTTGGTGCTATGGCCATTGTTCCTGTCATCCTGCAAAAATGACACTACTGCAACTTCCATGGTAGAAAGAGGCTGCTCCCGACGTGCTGTGACTTACTTATGCAGTCATCTGTCACAACTGTGTTGCCATCATCACACTCTTCCCCATCCTGGATGATCCCATCTCCACAGGTACTGCCGTCCCCGAAGCGGTAATCCACGGGGTAGAAAGGGCTGAGCTGGTCAAAAAAACACACCACAGTTACTGTGCGGGACTACCAGCAGCCTGGCTCACAAACGGAGGTGACAGGCTATAGGAGGAGGATCCTGCAGACAGGTTTCCATATCCCACTGTTCGATGGGTCACACAATTTATACAGAATCTGATTCAAAATCCAGTTGAGAAAGTAAGGATCCCACCATTGATTTCGGTGGGACTTTTAGTTTAGCTCCCTGAAGCAGTAAGGAAATACATGGTTTGATTTGCAGGGGTAGTATTTTTCCACAACTCTCTTCCCTGATGAATTTTGTGTTATTTTGTGTTAAATCAAAACTGGTTTTTACTAATGAAATTCCCCAAACTCAGTTCACCAGTTGATTCACAGGGAGGAGAGCAAAACCTGGACCACTGATTAGTTAATGTCTCAGCAACTAAGACTCGTGTGAACAAATCCCACAGAATTAGGTACAGTTGTAACAGTGCTCAAGAATTAACTTTTTCTTCGTTCACTTAATTGATTCTGTATGATACCTTAAGTTCAAAGTTATCTGCTGTATTTCAAAGTGTCATGTACACTCACAAGTTTTCTAAAACCACAGTCATATTTTCACCTGGATTGGGAGCCATCCAAAGGTATCCTTGAAATACAAAGATCTCTGATCTCTTCTAAAAGCTAAGGCATTTTCGGTGTTTAATCGGTCCAATTCTTCTTGATTATTCACCACAAAAATCTGGGGTACAGAAAAAGAGGTGGTTGGTAACTCTCTCAAGAAGTATTTCGAATTGCCATGGAATCCAGTTCTGCAAACTGAGCTACGTATCTGCAAATATGTAAAGAATTGCCAGAAAATTGGTTTGTTTTCTGAAACAGAATGGCATGCCAGCCCTGGGTGAGAATTTACATGCATAAAAATATTACTTTGCAATTGATAAGAAACTCTAGTCTTCAAAAGCTAATGGTCTCTCCTGAGCACCCAGCTAAGGCTCCAGTGACCCCTATTTTAAAATGCACACCCACAGATAAGGACCACGCTAAACCTTGTGCACAATCACTGCTGAGAACAATTTCCCAATGGCTAGATGCTGGAACAACTGCAAAATCCATATGGGCATAAGTGGTCTTTGAGGGTTTGTCTATAATTTTTAAGGCATGTTTTTGGTTACCAAATAAATATTTCATTGCTCAATGCAGCCTTCACTTATCTTTTGCTACTTTGTACTTCATTTAGACTTAATCGGCATTTAAATTCATGTTTCTTCGCATGCATTTACTTTAGTCTAAATTCAAGTCTTCAATTAAACAGAAAAAAAATCAGTACAAATTGGAGAGAATTAGAACAAGCTTCTCCCAATTTTTTTTAATGTCTCATTCACCAAAATTGTAAGGGGCATTATGAAATAATCTTTTCCTTTGGCAGCTTAATCAAATTAATTTTAGTAAAATTCAAACCATTTTTAAATTAAGAAAAAGCAAATGGAACGCTTCTGAGCAAAATGGATTTAGGTCAGAGCCTGATTCCCACCAGCATAATCGGAATTGGCTCTTTTTAAAACAAATTACCCTGAAATTTTTACATAGCAGCATATTCCCATAGCCCCTGACAAAGGCCAATTTCATTAAAGAAGTGCTGAATAAAAATGCCTTCAGCCAGAATGAAAGAAAGCAAAGAAACAGAAAGCCAGCAAAGAGCTGGTTCTGTGGCTCTTCGGGAGCTGAAGTCCCAGCGCCAGAGCTGCAATTTCTCTCGAAATCAATAGCAGATCTGTGCCCTCTGAAAATCCCTTTTACAGATATCAGCCTTTGAAATTGCAAAGGATTTAAAAACTGGGATGAATCCCAGCCAGGGACAGAAAAGCAGCACTTTGTTTCCTCCCCTCCTTTGGCAGCGCTGGCATGGTCCCCGCAGAGGGGCGAGCGGGTGGCTGCGCTGGGGACATGCCGCAGGGGATGGAGCAGGGCTGGAGCCCTGGGGAACCTTCTCTGGGTCTTTCCCAACCAAGTGCAGCTACAGCAACCCTGACAACAGCCTTCAAGAGGCACAAGGCAGATTTCTAAACTGCTCCATGGGGATTGGAACAAAATAAATAATGGCACTGTGAAGCTCTCTGCCACTCGAGGGAGTAAAACAAATGGGGCAGGCAAGTGGGGAGCATTCCTCAGCAGGACGAGGCTTGCCTCTTTGCCATCCCTCCTTTCTGAGAACAGAAATGGCACTTGATCATCATCAAATGACGGTTCATATAGATACTGTAGGTTACTCATATCTGATGTAACTACACTCTCATTGCCATCTTTTAAGATCTAATATTAAACAGTGCCTGGGGGAGAAGGAGGGTGGTAAGACCTACACGGAATATTCTGAGTCTTACAATTTATCCTACAAGTTCTCCATGAAATACATGATATTTTTTGGTAATAGCACACAGCATGATGCAATATGCACCTTTATTTCATGCACTTTCTTCTGTCACCATTGAGTTTTAAAAGTAACAGGCCTTTTTTTTGTAATGCACCAGGGATGTGCAATCAGCTGAGAAGACTTGCAGCACACTCATGCAGAAGATTGAGCTCAATGACCCAGTTTAATGAGCAGTGTGGTGAGCACATCCCTTTCTCACACATTAACAGCTTCCTGAAAATGTGACAGATGGGAATGTTAACAAAGCTAATCACCGCCTGTTGTCATTCAGAGACCACCAGACACCAGACAATACCCAGTCCCTTGAGTGGCAGGGCTAAGCTAGTACACAGAGGCAGTAAAAGGTAGCCTTTTCATTGCTGATTAAGTGATACAATGCACAGAACAGCAAGGCAGGGCCCGGCTGAAGGAGAAGTACAGAAATGGTATTTACAAAGACCTAGGAATCAGAGATGAAAAATTGCTAGGTCTTGCTCTTTAAAGTACCTTGTCCAATTTGCTCATAAAAATGCTTTCAAGAAGGCTAGCAATTGAAATTAGCTATGAAAAGTGTGCGTCTACAGCCAGCAGCTCAGAAGTCTGACTCCATTTCTGGCTCAATGTAGAGGGTTTGTGTTTTGGGAGAACACTCTGTTGTATGTGTGAAATGTTTGACTCCAATATTCAACTCTGAAATCACTGTATTGCAGAAGATATAAAAAATAAACAAGAAGTAGATGCTTCCTTCACCAACCAACATGAAATATATTTCAACTGACTGAAATAAAAATAACAGATTATGTGTGTATAGCAAGGTGGAAGAGAGCTTCCTCAGGATCAGAGAAAGGTTTCCAAAAATGTGCTACATTACTGGTGGTTTGTAACAGATGCATTTCAGCACCTCAATCACACAACCTTCAGAACAGTTATGAGACCAAATTCTTTTGCACAGACTGGATCTCAGAGGTTTTGGATACTGGAGATAACACATTGCCCACATATTCCGTTAAATGCAAATTATTAGTGAATAGAGCACTTCTTGTAATAAAAGTACGTAAGAATCGTTCATACCCTCTCCCAGAAAATCTGCTTACCGCCGGGACTTTTGGATAACTGTGTCCAAACACAGATTCCTCATATGATGGATTATTCATATTTTGTGGGGATCTGCAGAGACATCTCCCTGGAGGTCCTGGAAGTCCTCTTTCCCCTTTTGGTCCTATTGCGAATTGCCCTAGAAAGTAAAATACCTGATTGCCCTGTTATTGAGTTAACATACAAAACACAAACACAGCCTCAGTGGAAAAAGTATGGTTAAAAAGTATTTTTTAACCATGGCTAGGATGGCCATTTTCTTAGGATTTTCAGATAAAAGTCAGCCTGGTTGAAATTACAGAAATTCAGGTCATGACACATACAGAGATCACTCCAGAACACGTATGCAGCGGGTTTAGGAAGACCTATATTGAGTCAGTCTCTGTAGACATCCAGAACACATGGGAATTGTGCATTTGTACAACCACTTCAGCACTGCTGCTTCAGAGGTTTCTGTACAGGAAAACCCAACTATAAAGACAGGAGTCCTACAAATAAATACTTTAAAACCTAATGCTTTTTGACTTTCAAACTTTGGCAAGGATGCAGTACTCTGCAGAATTAGACTTTGAGCCAACATGCTCATACTGCAAGCAGTGACATCATTACAGGAAGGTCATTTAGGATAAGAATTTATATTCTGGAGGAAAAAGATGAGCAAGCCTGATACATAAAATTTCTGTGGATGGAATAAATCCTTTAAAAAGTAATCTCAGGATCCTGGCTGCCTTCCTGTTGGCACGGTGAAAATTCTGCCCTCTGAAAACTTCGAGCTAATTTACTCAGGATAAAGATGTTTCATAACAGGAGACATGAGATACGGGTAGATTTTAAAGCAGCCCCCAGCTTCACAGATGTACCATTTCCATACCACCACTCAGAAGAGACTTCCTGCCCACTGGTGTGAGCAAGGAAGGAAAAAGGGAAAAGAAAAAGAAAGAGGACATTGAAGGGCTGCAGTACAAACAGCTGTTGGCCATTTGAGACAGCAGCAGTCTCCAGCTGAGTTTGCTTTTCTCTTCAGCATGTATCCAGGTTGGGAAAAATGTACCTCTCTTGGTCTTGCAAGAGAAAGCAAGCTGCCCAGAGATCACGTGAACACAGCGTTTTGAAGCTGAACAACTATCAGTTACCAGCTTTTCTCATGATTTCCGCAACACACTCAAATGCAGACAGCATAGATCTACAGCACTTAATAAAAAGAGATATTTTTTATCACCCTTTTCCCCCTCTAACTCCTATCTTGATCCTTCTTTTAAGTCTCATCTGTTTTCCTTTTACAGAGCTGCACAGAGTAAGTATGTCCTGGCTGATTAGAAATCACAATCCTTCACTGTATGCCAGGATATCTGGAGAAGCAGCAGACCTTTGATGATGGAGATTAACTAGTCCTTCCAAAGCTGCCAGATAGCTTTTCATCATCCCCATCTGCCAAAGTCCCAGGGGAACCACATGGGCAATGTTTTTGCTTTTATTTGAGACATCAAATGTTATTATGTAGGCTTTAAAGTAAGATATAAGGTCCTTATAATGGATAAAGAAGGTTTGACATGACATCAGGAGAAATCCTCTCCTTGCTCTTAGTGGAGAAGCAAACAAAGCTCTGCACTATTCATTGTAACGGAGCTGTATAGATGTATGTGCTGAGTCAGGAGGGGCTAGGGAGAGTGCACACTGCTTCAGATGACCTGATCCCTGCTTACCTGATCCTGAAGGTCCAGGGGGGCCTGGCTGGCCAGAAGGACCAGGCCTTCCAGGTGGGCCCATGATACCCACGGGTCCGATGTCTCCCTTTTGTCCCTAGGAAAGAGGAGACGTTTATTTGCTAAGCTGTTAATAATACACAAGATCCCCCAGCCAGCCTTTCAAGAAAGCCAAGACATTTGCCAATAGGAGCATGCAGCATGATCTCCACAGCCACTTTCCCGGGAAAGAGAGGGGCTGTCCCTTTCTGGGTACAGACAAAAAAGTGGGTCCAGGCAGGACTTCTGCTTCTGAGAGTGAATGTAACCAGCAGATTGCTCTATGTGGAGCTGGGAATCACCCTGTTCCGACTTCAGTCATCCAGGGGCTTTCCTTCAAGGATGCCTTTTTATTCTTGGTAGTTCCCTAGGAGTCAGTACAGCTCAGAAAGAAAGGGCTGGCGGCACTGAAATAAGTGATCCTGGAAATCCTTAGAAAGCAGATCTGACTTCTGGATCTTAGCCTGAGTTTGCGGGGCTGACAGAAATAAATTGATACATTTTGCCTCCAGAAAGAGAAAATTCAATAAGAAGTCATCAAGGGTTTCCACAGTGACATTTCTCCCTGCTGAGGTGCAGATTTTCGGAAGAATACTGATTAGTTTGAAACCCTCACTATTTTTACAAGTATTTAGAGCCTCAACTCTTGTATTGCATTGACTTTCACTATGAATCTACCTGTGTTAGCAAAGCATTGCAAGACAAGCGAGGGCTTGGTTTTACAGAGGGCAAACTAGTGTGCAGCAGCTGCCCTGCTGTATGCTGACAAATGATGTTCTTCTGGTGCCTTATCACGCAGTCAAAATGCTGTAGAGTTACCTATGGAAGATGAGTTTACATACAGTTACCACACAATAGTTAATTTTCTGTAAAATTAGCCCTAATTTGCCTCAGGAAAGCTTGTTTATGTAGCCATACTTTTAGGGGGTTGAAAGTTTTACCCTAGAACTGTTCAGCACCTTCCTATTTTGGGGCCTGAATTTAATATGGTGGCACTTATTAAAAATAACTATATTTATCGTCCTACTCATATACTCTGAGGCTTGTATTTCTCAGATTTATATTTCAGAAGCACACAGCATAGCTTAAGGTTGAAATATCTGATTTGATTTTTAGGTAGCAACACACATTGTTGAGCAAAACAAAAATGATTTGTTCCACATTATCATTCTTGTACTGCCAATGAGATGAATTCCTTCAAGATGGTTTAATTCCACGTTAATGTGCATTCATGGGCAGATGATGGGCAATTGCATGTCTAACTTCAGATTAACGAGGCATACATAGTAACAGATGATAAAATAATTTGTTGCTATATAGTTGCCGTACTCCATGAATATGTTTGAATGTCACTTTGCACCATTTCAACAAATGAAGTTTTTTGTTTGTCTGTTTGTTTGTTTTTATGGCCCATAAAGAACTAATTGAACATTTACTTTGTTTAATCCTATTAGATAAGCTCTGTGCCATCAAAATATTCCAGGATTTATGTGAGTGTCAGCAATGCTGATCGCTAATTACTTCTTATGTTACACAACATGAATGCACAAAACCAGCGGACCAAGATTTTGTAGCCCCTGAAGAAGTCTGCGGCAAATCTCTTTCCCCACACAATAAGGATCTGGCAGAGGAAATCCAGTGCCAGTCTGACATGTACTGCCTGAAAACGAGCTGACTTTTGTGTCTTATGTTTGGAGGAACGCTTGCTTAATGCTCTCTTGCTTAGCACAGGTAGATTAATTAATTGCAGAGGTGATATTAAATATCTTTGCCTTGTTTCCTTTCATGTGCGACTACGGCATTCAGAAAAGCTTTTCCCAGGGATGATATTTATAGTCCTCTCCTTCTTTTCCAAGTAATGTCCCTTAAGTCATTCCTCCTCCACAACTGAAACCCAAAACTTGCTCCTTGGGAGTCAATTCCCAAGTCACAAAGCTTTGGAAGTTGGGTCGGGGCTTGGGGTTGGTGAGGGTGTGACTTGTGACTCCCACCTCCTGGCCACCTTTTAGGAAAAGCTTGCCCCAGAGGCAAAGCAGAGTTGAAGAAGCCAAGGGGATAACCAAGACGTATCTCAAAATGGAAGTGGAAATGACACCTTCCTAATTTAGCTGCTTTCATCGGGGATGTCAGCTGGATCAAGAGACAGGAAATGGCTCCATGCTGATGGAAACTACCCTCTCAGCTGAACAAACAGCAAGGTAATTACAGCACTTAAAGGCAGCAGCCAGACCCACACAGCTTTAAAATGACACTTGCAAGGTTTTATTTTCAAATGATTTAAAAAGGAGAAAATAAACAGATAGTTCACTAATTACAGAAAGAGAAACCCATTTTTTTTTGTGCAGATCAATACTGAAATTGCTTTCAGGGCAGCAGAAAGGCATTTGTGTACCAAGCCTTGGGCCAGGAAGCCCTAATTTAGGGTCAGACTATAGTTCTTTTAGTCCCACTGATTGATGCCCTAAACTATGACATCGCATGTGACCACTTTTTGATTCAGACACTGCGTAATGTACCAAAATGTCTAAGATCAAGTATAAAGTCCTTTCAGGAAAAAAGGGACACTGCACTGTGTCCTTGTTGATCTGCAGGCACTGCGTCTCCTCTTCACCTTACACTACAGAAAGATATTCTGTGCACATCCCCTTTGCCAGGACAGATGAGCACAGTTCATTTAAAAAAAAAATAAATAGCAAGAGAACACAGCCCACATCAGCTATTAAAACCTATCAAATCAAGGACAAAAAAGACATTTCTTGTGGCTCATCTAGCAGACTTACATTGCACACATCTTCCTTATTTGGTGGCTTGTTATTCCCTCCCAACACCCAGTTTTGAATTTTTACTCACACTGGGTATTCTTTCACTTCAGATATTAGCTGACAGCATTAGAGCAACAGCAAAGCAGGCTTGTGTCTCTTTTTGTCATGCTGGGCATAACCAGGCTGCAAATAAAATGCTTTCAGCTGATCCTATTAACCTCTGCATCTACAGACTTCTGTATCTAAGCAGATGTATGTTAAAACAAACACTGGTATAGCAAGAGCTTGTTCCCTTCCCTGTCAGAGGAAAGAAAGAAGCATTGCAGGCAGCAAACCAAAGGGACTGTTCTTATAGGGCTGACTTTGTGTCTACTGTCCCCTTGCCCTCACAATATCATTGCTTAAAATAAATGCACAAGGAAAGATGCAATTAAAGAAATTCATTTGGTCACTTGAATAGGTAACTACATTAACACTGCTGCCTCCTTGGACAATGCTGTATTGGAGGAATCAGGATCACATTTACACAAAATTTCCGGCCCTTACAATTCATCTGAAAGTCTGAAAAAAAAAAATCAGTTCTGTCAACATAATTATTTTGAGCCCAGAATAAGGAGCATTTGCCACCACCCCATTCCTGAGCAGCTTCCCCAGAAGATTACCACCCTTGAGGTTACTGTGTGTCTTCCGGACCTTTCTTAGAGAAGAGGAATCTGTCCCTGGCATGCTGTACTGTGGTGAGAAGTGTCATATAAATATCTTAGTCTAACAAATCAATCTTGGGTAAGTATTAACAGAGGGAAAGGGAGAAACCAAGAGGGTGTTTTATTACTCTGATTCTGTATCACCACGCTTGGGCCTGGTCAAAGCCTGTCTGAACTAAATGGGACCTCATGGACAGAAAGCATCCTCCAGGCAGGCCCAGCCACAGGCTCAGGACCTGGCCACACACTGGGTGCACCCTACTGCTTGTGCTAGAAGCCAGGGGTGTACTGCAGGACTGAGGTGTGGATGTGTAGACCAGTGATTTTCATTGTTACATACCACACACCAGCCACGTGTTGGCTACTGCCAGTACACAGTGTTTCTCCCAGCCTCCAGGTGGGATTTGGAACAGGCCTTTGTGTTGTTTAGGATTCAAAGGCAGGGTTCAAGGTCTGCTCAGCTTATACTCAATGAGTTATCAATCCAGGGAAAATGTTACTTTAGCCGTGCTGCACAGCAAGGGATTTGAGTGCTGCAGATAAGTCCCAGGCATGCACGCGAGGTGCTGCAGCACTTCTGGGACCAAGCACAAGGCACCACCACAGAACAGACCCCACAGCTGTACACCATGACCACACAGATGCCAGCAATCACAGGAAGAGGAAACACCATGGTCCTACTTGTTTGCCTCGTTTTCCAGGTCTTCCTATAGGTCCTCGGTGTCCCGGTGCTCCAGATTGTCCCTTGGGGCCCATCTCTCCCTTGGTGGGTGTGGAGGGAAAGAAACAGGACATAGGCAAAGCAATGGTTATACATGTCTGATACAATTCCTCTAGATAATGCTGGCATTGAATTTTTCTTGAAAATTCACAATTTCAAAAAATTATTTTAAAACAAGGGTAAAGCCAGAAACACCTCTTATAATTTACCCATTTTTCCCTGAAAAATCCTTCCCTAAAGAGGAAGCCAAATGGAGAGGCTAGCAAAACTCTCTGACCATTTTGACAACATCGTGCTTTGCTGTTAAGATGCACATGTAATAAAGTCTCCACCAAGAGAAATAATAGTGGATTCATTCAACCATTATTTGTCCTAAGTTTAGAGATAAGATGCAACAATGTCATAAATTTTCATCTTTTAGGATTTCTGTCGATAAACTAACATCTGAACTGTTCATGTTTTTCAAGTACAGAATGATGATATCAACACGGGTCAGGATTTCCACTGCTATTTGTAGCAGTGCTATTTTGATTTAGAGTGTCAGGAAGGAAATGTTTATTAGCTCCAAGTGAAAAGTAAAGCCCAAACAAACAATTAGGCCAGCCACAAATCTATAATCAAGAGGTATGAAAATGTTAATAGAAAAAAGATTATGACTACACCTATGTTCTGGGGGAAAAAAAAAAAAAAAAAAAAAAAAGCAGCTAAATTTCAGGGTTTTCTCCTAAAGTAAAAGAAAACAACAACAATAACAGGAAAAAGAAAAGGAAAGGAAAAAGAAAAAGAAAAAGAAAAAGAAAAAGAAAAAGAAAAAGAAAAAAAAACATAAAGAAAAAGAAAAAGAAAAACATAAAGAAAAAAAAGAATTTGATCACATCCAAAAATGTTGGTCATTGAATCAAGCATAACTTTCAATGCCTTATGCTTTCTCGGACATCCCTGATTCGTTGACCCTATGCCAACACTTATTGCAATTCCCCAATAGCTCATGCCCACTTACTTTCTGTCCCAGCATCCCAGGAGAGCCTACTTCTCCCTGCAAAGTAAAAGGAGAAAAAGCGTCAAAAAAAATTGGAGTGATCATTGACAAAGCAGCACCAATGTAAGCCTTTAAGGGAGAAAGAACAGTGACATGTAGTGATACCAGAAAAAAAATACTGTGATTCAGCACTGCAGGTGACACAGTAAATGGAGAATTATAAGCAAGGCTGTTCTGTAAAGGCCCTTGTACTGAAGCACTATTCCTCTGTCTGATCCTCTGCAGCCTGCTTCCTCTCAAGCAAAAACATACCAGTTGTGATTCTGTCCGCAGGCCACCCTGCTACCTGGACAATACTTAAAGTCTATCTTTGTGAATGGCACTTTTCTATCTACTTCAAAGAGGATTTACTTTCCCTTTCTGAGTTAAAAGACCTCCCAAACCACAAATCTCACTTGTTTTTTTGTTTTGTTTTGTTTGTTTGTTTGTTTGTTTGTTTTTCTTAAAGTAATATAATGCCACCAACTAAATGCATTTTGGCAAGCTGTCATGGTTCTGGTCTGCACAAGAGTGTCTCATCACCCGGGTATGCCCCAGGGCTGGTGGGGCAGATAGGCACAGAGGTCCACATCATACAGGGCCACTGCCTCCTTGCCCCCCCCAGGATCATGCCTCCATGCTCCCTTCCTCCATACCACCCTCGTTTTTTCAACTATCAAAAATACATCAGTCTTTAGGTGCTTATTCAGCTCACAGTCATCTGGAAAAGTACCTGGTCTCCTTTAACTCCTTTGTCACCTCTGTCACCTCTGGATCCCTGGGAAGGCAAAAGCTTAATTACTACAATTTCATGAGAAAGCAAAAAATATTTCTCCTACACAAGACATTATTTGTAGTGGCACAGAATATAGTAATATTATGTAATAAGTTATATGGTAGATACCCTAAAATGTTTCCTTAGTACTTTCATTAATATTATTATAGAATTGAGAGTAAGGCTTGTAGAAAAAGGCATTTATTCTTCCCAGATAATTACTTTAAATATGGGCTTTCTTGGTTGTATACTTCCAGACTTGTCTTTCTCCCCAGTTGGCTTCATCCAAATTTAGGCTCCACTTTTACTGTAAAAACTGTCTCTGTGCCAAAGCATATATAGCCTAAATAAACCAACCAACAATTAAGGTTTGTTATACCCATGATGGGGAAACATAGTGGTGTTCACTGTAGTAACTTGTTCACAAAAAAATGAGGTATAAAACTCACTTCTTCAGCAACCCAACCCAAGCCACAGGACAGTATTCCTTTGCAATGCGTGTTTTAATTTCACAATGGGACCTTCAGACAGTCCATCAAAATTTGACCACATTTTTACAGTTACTATTTTTACATAACTATTTCCAATTGCTAAATCATATATTATTCTATTGTTACACTGACCTTTTCTCCTCTAGTTCCTGGAAAACCCTAAAGGGAATGACAGACATTTTAATGCTTCTCACTTTCAAGATGACCAAAGAAGCAAGTTCATATCTTGCAGACTTTTAAGTAAAGAAAAAGAATGAAGCACAAGTAATTAATTTCATTGACTTGTAAATGCAAATTAATTTTATAGCTTCTAAAAGTGCACTGAAACAGAATTATGAAATAAGAATTAAAGGCAAAACAAATCAGCCCAAAAGCCAATGTGAAAAAGCCAGGTAAAGCCAGCAAGTGTGATACTGTTTTTAAAATTAAAGCAAGGGAAATTAAATGTAACTGAAAGAGAATAAAGTCTTTCACTCCACAATTAATACTCTAAATTAATTTTAGCAATAATCAGTCTCTTCTTCCCCCCTGTGGAATATCCTTAGATTATATTTAAGTCATCTTCTAAGGGAAAATTACTATAAAGCTGAGTTTCTCTTTAAGAAAAAATATAGCAAATAACTGTGTCCAGCTCTTCCTTGCAGTGCTTTATTTGAGTAACCTAATTACCTAATTTGTATCGAGATCCTTAAAAGGTTGTGGCATAATTTTTTTAAATGCAGAAGCTGTGCTATAAAAAATGATATGCAGATAATAGACCATCCAGACCAACTTGGTCTGACCATCCAACTATTAATATATATGCATAGTTTAAGGTGAGGACATAAATGATCTCCGGTCTTATGTGGTGGGTGGAAAACATTGCAAATGTGAGTTAATTCTATATTTAAGAACTCCAGTTTTCTAGTAGGATACAATTAGATATGATCTTTGCTCTTAAGATATTTTTTTGCATTACAGTAATTTACACCAAAGCATTTTATGAAAAGCCAAAAACACAGCCAAGCCCAGCCAAGCGCCATGGCCTTTCCTGAAGGAGAACATGTTTCTTCAGTTGTATTAGAAAACATATATCTTGATAAATGCTTTCTGGCAAACTCATGAGGGAAGCAGCTGTCAGCAGAGCATTAGAAACCAATGTCTGAAAAATGCAGTGTTTGGTTAACAAACCTTGGAGCCCATTGGTCCTCTTGTACCTGGCAATCCCATCACACCCAAATCTCCCTTTTCACCCTAAAGGGGTCAATAAAGAGAGTTATTGATTGTGGCTCTCTGATGAGGTCATATCTGAATGTCTGATAGTTCAGTGCTTGGGGTTTTGTGTCAAATACACGGGATAAGCCTGGCCTTGCTATAGCATTGTAGTCAGAGGTCTATATTGCAATTGTGTTCTATCTGAATCGTCATATATGATCCTACTCCTCTAGCTGCATTTCCTTCAGTGTGTAATTTGTGCTTCAGTTTTGGCAGATGTCATTAAAGGACATGCAAGCAATTAGCAGCTGTACATCCTTTTTCTACCTGAAGTTGCATTGTCTCTTCCAAACATTGCTTCCACTGAGATGCAGAAAAGCAGGGTATTTTGCTGCAAGCCTTTATGGCTTGGAGAGACATAGTGATTACTTTTATCATTGTTCTGAGATATTATGGGCTTTACAGTGGTTTGGAGACAATAAATCATGTAAAGACTTTACAACATCCTCTCTGTCTACTGTCAGCTAATTATATCTAAGGGGAAATACAGAGTAGTCCCTGAAGATATGCAGCAGCCCTACCAGCAAAACACATTTGGCTCTCATTCTCCTTTGGCTTTCACTGTCCAAGTATTGGAGAGGATTTTCACATTGGCTGCTGCCTCAGTAGAAGTTCAGAAAAGACTTGAAGAAACAAAGTAGGAGAAATAAGGGTTGGACCAAGACTGTCTGAGAAAGAGAAGATGAGAAAGGAGACCCAGCTGAAGAAATAGAAGGCACATAGAAGGGAATGAGAATTAAAACAAACAAACAAACAACAGCTTACTGGAGACCTACAGCAAAAAGAAGATGCTATGAATGACTATAATGAAGATGACTATCAGGAGTCTGGGAAGATCAGAGATCAGAAGAGAAAGGAAAGAGAGACACAACCTATGGAAGTGAGCAGAGACATCTACTGCCCTCTGTTCAGCTGGAGCCTTCAGGCAGGAAACAGAAATTTGTGGTGACTGGAAGGAATGAAAGTAGTAACACATCAGAAGAACAGAGGAGAGATTTATCAGAGGACACAATAAAAGCAGGAGAATGGACATTAAAAAGGAAGTAGGACATGCAGTAGAAGTATATTGAAAAAATACATTACTCAATGTGAGGTATACTTCTAGGAGTGCAGTGAAAACAACAATAGATGAGGAGGAGATAAAATCAAAATTAGAAAGTTTTCATACGTAAAGATAGGACTTAAAGAAAAGCTGAACTGAATGAGTTTTCTGACTGCTCTGCTCTCAGTACTTAGAACGTGAGGGAACAAGGTCGCTGGATTTTCCTTCTGCTCTCACTGCTCCTGCTGCACGGTATCACAGCACACGGTCCTTCTGGGGAGACACCATGTCCCATCTCCCAGTTCAAAGTGAACGTGGGCTCCTTTTTAGTTCACAGGCAAAAAAGCATACAATTCTTTGCCTACATTACCACATAATGTAATGTGGTAATCATCTGACACGTCTGTGAAGAGCTTAAGCGTTTGCTTCCCATGTATGGCTTGAATTCAGAAGTAATCTACTCTTATTCTTGCAGTAGCAAAGCCTATGGCATAATGTCCTCTGAGATTGGGCAGCAACCCGTATGGAGTGAAAAAAGAGTCAAACATTCGCTAGAAAATGCAATTTCAAATGAAACATAGTATGTCATCCTTCTGTCTGATACGTACTGGATTGAATAAAAACAGGCTTTCTATCTCAAATGCCTCAGTAGGAAATTTGTATTCCATGGCTCCTGTGAAAAGCTGTGTACCTTTTGTGTAAGGTAATAGTCAGAAAAGGACTGTCATGCAGCTTTTTTTTTATAATAAATGCAGATGAAGCCACCACCCTGCAGTAGGAAAGCATGTCCTGCCATTTCTTCTGCTGTTGGCTATGAAAATTCACAGTAATGAGTGTCTGTATGGCAGTGAGCTTCATAGAACAGATCAGCAATCCACATGGTTTGTAATCCCTTTCCCCTGAATGCAGCCTGGTGTTCCCCTTTATGCTGTCAAGAAGTACACATTCAGGTGTCCTAACCCTAGACTGGGCAGGTCTTGGCAGAGCAGTGTAAGAAACAGGGCAAGCACCGAGTGTCCCTGCACTGCTTGCAGCTCCCCAGCCTCTAGCAGACAGTGGTTTAGAGACTTCCTGAGCAACTCGTGTGTTCAGATCATTATGTTTAGTAACCATTCTGTGTGGATTTTAGTCTTACCTTTGGTCCCACAGGTCCAGGCCATCCTACTGGTCCTGGCATCCCAGGGACACCCGGGGGACCTGGTCTACCCTTGAACGGAAAACATCGATTACAATGATTCTTGTAACATCATTCCTACACACAGGTCTCCACTGCAGACAGGAGATGTGGAAAAACACAGTATTTTCAAGAAAAGAACTGCAAATTCTTCTCCACCTTGTTTTTAATGCAAAAAAAATATATATATATATGTACTATGTTGTATTCACAATATTGTTTATGTTGATGCTACTGGAGGAAATGTGGACTCACAGAAATACCAAGTTATACTGATTCAAATAAGTAGATCAGCTACAGAGGAAATCTACGTGTAGTCAAAATAATAATCCAAAAACCCAGGATCAATAACTTAATTCTTCCTCTCATTTAATAATACAGCGTAAATCAAAAAGACCTGCATGTAATTCTATCCGTACAAATGCAATTTACAGTAAGAACAGAAACAAACCTTTAACTAAGATATTCCTGGTTTTATTTACCATTTATTTTATTATGAGCACTCATATTACTAGCTGTAATTGCTCTTTGTCTGCTGTCTTGTGACTAGCATTAACTACATACATACTTATCTATTTTATCTTCTGCCTGTAAATCACTCCCTGACTAGCTGCTAAAATGCTGCAGATTAGTGCTATTCCACTGCTTTATGCCATTTGACAACATGGTCCTAGAAATCTGATCATGACTTTGGAGCTAACAGTGAGCTTCCATGAGCCAGAGAGCTTTTAGCAGGAATTATACCGTTTTATGGGCAACTTCTCCTCTGGGACCTACTAGTTCTTGTCAGAAAAGTAAATACGAATTAAGGTTTGCACTCTTGTGTAGGTTGATGGGTGACTGTCTAATACATTAGTTTTGAACACTTAAATATATCTAAGTAGTATTTTTGTTTACTATAGGGCATTTGAAATCTATATTAAAGAAAAAGAACTCTTTGTTTATATGTTTCATATCCACTTGAATTACTGATAAGTAGCTAGTGTCAAAATCCTTTGCTTATTATTAGAATGGTATTTCTTTTCCTGGTTAGTGACTACCCCCCACATATCTCTGATTTCATCCTGCATTTCTGTCTTCTTTTAAAATTAATTACATTAAATGGAAGCACTTAACGACTGAGATAACATATTCTGTTTCATCACACGTAGGGGCACATATTTTTGACAATATATCATGGCTCATGTGTCACCAAGCAGAAGATTGTAGTCAGCATATTGCTTTGGAAGTGTAATCATTAATGGATGTTCCTCCTTCTGGGCTCTTCGGTTGAGCCTGGCTTCAGCTTTGGGGCAGTAAAAAGGTTGATTTGGCTTTCTTTTTGTTGTTGTTTTTAAATAGACCTTGGTAGGTCCCATACTTTGCTTCCCCTGTCCACAGAGGTATAATTCAGGTAATCTCCCACTCCTAATTGCCTGGCTGGAGATTGATGCTCTTACTGAGGGAATTTACCAAATTCAAACCAGCTGTGACAGCTCCCCAGCCCTGTACCCAGAGCCCCTACCACTCTCCTGGCTATGCATGGGAGCAACACAAATAGGCTCAACACTTCAACATTAGCTGATTTGTATTTATCAATTGCCTGTGGTCCTCTCTGACAGCTGCTATGTGTCAGGTATCAGGCTGGTGTCTGAGGCAGCACCTTTTGTTCATACCTTTCTTCCTGGCCTGCCGATCTCCCCCTGCCAGAGAAAGGAATATGTTAGTCTCAGAGATACCACACAGACCACAGTGGCTCATCAGTCAGTGCATTTATAAACAACATTGGGAATATCTTTACCTTCTGGACTTTTTTTTCCAGAGGTAAAATGGGAAGAATTTTTAACAGAGGTCCTGGACCTTTTCTGTGTTCTCAGCCCTAAATCTACAGACACACTCATGTAAAGCATGTAATTATGCCCAGCTTCTTTAAGCATCATCATGGAGCAAACGCTTTGCAGGTCTGAAGCCATAACCTCACATATAGACCACCTTTACTATCTGATCTGACCCATACAACTAACAGTGGATAGGAGACGTTTGCTTCCCACATCCTCCCAGAGAACGGTGTTCAAAGACTATGGGATTAGTAAGAGCACTGACTGGGGCACCCAAGATACTCTCTTATCCATAATGTAGACAGAGTCAGCTATCATGAGAAGCCATAAAAATATTTCAGGATTGAAAATGAACCCTAGAAGATGATGCTTTGAATTACGGCTTCAAACTTACCCACAGCTCTACATTCAAATTAAAGCAAATCCCCACATGTCCATAAAGCCCATTATTGACTAAACAGACAAGAAAAAAAGTGAATGACCCCCCGCACCTCCATCTCTTCCCTTGACTCCTCAAAAACACACCAAACACCATAACAACAGGCACTTACTTTCTCTCCTTTTGGTCCCATTATGCCAGGAATTCCTCGTGGACCCTAGGGACAAAAATGAGTGCTGTTATTGAGCAGTATTAGTAAGAAGGCACTGGTATTGGCCTTCCCCTAGCCCATGGCCCTGCCAGTGCCTCCTGAGAGCGATGTGACCCCACAAGGTCATGGTGTTGGACGTGGTGTTTGAATGTTGCCTCTAAATGCCAGGTCTGAGTCATTGCTGAAGGCAGGCTGGAGAGTTGCACTGAGATGAGAAGCACAGGGGCATCTTCTAGGTGAAGAAAACTAGCAAGAAAAAGTGCCTGGGACACAAGAAAGCAGGGAAGTTGTTGGAGCCTTGAAGAATGATCGACTGCAAGGACACAGAGACATTGCATCAGCTGGCAAAGGAGGTCAGACAAAGCAGGTAAGGGAAATGGCATAAACCACATGGGATGGGCTCTGAAGGGTGCTGTAGACATCAAAGATTGTCACCATTTCTGAATCTTGAAGCTTGAAGACACCAGTTTGAATTTTTAGCATCCTGGGCACAGCTTTGCAACCCATCTCCTCATGGGACTTCCTGTCCTCATCCCTGTTTCCTGCCTGCCTGCTCAGGTGGAACACAGCTTCCATGCAACCTCATGGGAAGGAGACAGTGGCTGTCAACTTTAGGGGCTGTTCATACCTCTGCTGAATATTTTGTAGCCATTTTAAGAACTCCTTAATAGCACGGGCATTCTAACAAAAAAAAAAAAAAAAAAAAAAAAAAAAAAAAAAGACTTGCAATGGTAAAATCCACCTTCAAAAATTATTCAATTTCTTCTTCTGAAACACTTTTTGTTCATCTTTTCATAAAAATAACAAGAGGTTCCCAATGTTTCTTGTTTTGTGTATTTTCCCATGTTCATGGAATGTCATTTTCTACAGAGTAATAGTTAGGAAACTGAAATGCTCTTCCTTGAAATGCAATTGTCATTACTGTTGTTGTGATTGAAGTACTTTAAAAACAAATAAACTTCATGTAACTTGTGGTAAATTTGTCTCCTCATGATTAAACAAATCTCAAATTTTTAGTTAAATTGCAAATGTAGCTTTAAGCCTGACATCCTTTACAGTCAATATTACCCTCCTGCTGCCTAGTGGCCAGTCCAGATGTAAGCTGTTGAGCAGAGATATTTGTTTCCTGTGGTTTGAAAACACCCCCAAAATATATGAATATACATCTCCCAGTTAGAGTGGAGCTGCCTTTCAAAGATAACCAACAGCAAATTTTCAAAATTCTTTTCCTACTTTCCTAAAATTGCAACTGAATGAAGTAATGTGGCTTTGGGAAGCTGGACATAAATTATAGGCAAGGGTGACATAATCTGAAAGACAAGGTTAGAAAAGACTGATTCAGATTTGAAGTAGAGATTGATCAAGGCTCACAAATCTGTTTAAGCCCCAAGAAATGAAGATATTGCTCTCCTTCATGTGAGGCTTATTCCCCTTTCAGGAAACATTTTAATCGAGGGACATGCTCAGAAAATAAAAATAAAAGTAAAAATCAGAAAAAAAAAGCTGTTGTTTCTAGAGTGCTTCAGAGAACCCTTTTGTTTCTGAATGACTAAGGAAAATCCCACAAGCTGTCATACAAAGAGCATTAGGCTCACCATATAAATCACTCCAGGTTACAATCCTGGTTATCTTATATGGTCTAAAACATTATGCAAATTGTACATGAACAGGAGCAAACCACACCCTCAAATGCAAATTATTGCAATGATTGTAGTCAGTAATTTTAGACTTTCAATAGTGTAAATCAGAATGTACTGTATTAGAGACAAATTTTATCTTTCTTTCCCTTTACCTTGGTTTATACATGGGACGAATTATATGCTGAGTCACATCATTACAAATCTAATTCTCCTTTTGACAAAGTGTTAAAACTCAGCTCTGGCTCAACAGTATGAGCTTTTACAACTCATGAAAGTCATGCATTTACAACAGAAAGCAATTCAGAAATACTTTTGAGATATTTTTTAGAAACTGTAGCACTTCTTTTCCCGTGACCATTTTCATAAAGGTATTGTCTGGAGGATTGCTGGCTCTAACTACTGTCCCTCTATAAAACACCATCCCACAATTTATAATTAAAAATTCCAAAGCCATGTTATACCCATCCTACTGTTAGTGGTTGTGATAAAATCTGTCAGCCTACTCTATTTAAAAATGTTCTTGGAGGGATCATAGATCATTCAGTTGCAAGGTTAATTATTATTTATAGCAGTGAACCTTGCAGAACAATAGAACTGACCTTATTGTTTTTCCAATTTAAGTCAGAGGTAGCATTAAGAGGATTGTTTCAAAAAGACAGTCTGGCAAAGACTAAAATTACAACAGCTTCTTCCACATATACTGAAGATCTAGATGGTGCCCAACACACCACGGGACTGCTCCATAACGAAGAGATTTTTCTCAACACAGGATAGGATAAACCATCACTTCTCCATGTTCCTCCTAGTTCACACGCTAAAAGAATTTCCCTTCAGTTTTATTTTCCTTTGGAGGGAACAAATTGGAACAGAAGGATAGATGGGTGATATTCTCCACAACAGTGAGACATGCACAAAACCTTCTCCCCTAGAAGTGGAACATTTCCTTGGAAGATTTCTGACCTTCTGCCCTATGCTTCAAGTGTACAAATTGTAGATGAAATAGGAGCCCAAAGGGGCTGTCCCAAGGCTACCCAGCAAGCACAGATTTTGCAGGTTAAGCTGGAAGTTTATCCCATTGCCCTTCCCGAAGCCCCTTCTTGCCTCTGGTCTGCACTGAAGGTATGGGCCTTCTCAGGGATGTACTTCACTAACACTCAAATTCATTGCACCTCTTGTGCATCAACTCCACGGGCTCTTTCTCCTCACATAACAAGAGAATAAAGCAAAGAAATAAACCAACTGAAGGAAGTGATGGCAAGTCTGGGATTTTTCGTGGGTGCCACCCACTGTAAAACTACATGACAATGCAGGGTGAATGTGAAATTTGCAAGGCAGGAATGAGAACACAGGGTAGGAAGCCTACATGATTTATGCACAGTCATACCAAAATGAAATTAAGCCAGAGTTTGATATGCTTATTAAGGCATAAAAGGCATTTACGGAAAATGTGTAACAGCTTTGTAAGGACCTTGGAGCAAGCGAAAGACTGCTGTGGTTTGGTCACAAATGCATCACTCACCTGGGGGCCAGGAGGCCCTGTGGGGCAATGCAAGTCGGGCATTGTTATCTGGAGCTCCTGGCACAAGTCCTTCATGTCCAGAGTAAGCAGCTTCTACGTAAGGTAAAATATATGAATGAACACTCATAGAGAACATGGAGAAAAGCACAAATAAGCAGCCACTACAGTCCAAATGGCACTTAATTACTGCCTGAGGGAGAAGCCTATGGTTTGTCACAAGGTTATCTTCATGGATGCTTCAACATTATCACTTCGGCATAGTGTCCTGCCCCACATTTCCTCCTCCTTTCCCAGGCATGCCGCAGCCAGGCTATCTCATCCCCTCCAAGCCAGTGTGGGACTCAGGGCTATTCTTAGACTTGACCCTGCTCTCCCCATCACGCTTTACAAGTAGCAGCTCCTCTCCGAAAATAGCATCTTTGCTCTAATAATACCGACTGCACTCTGCATGGGTATAGGCAGCGTGAACTTCACTCCAGTAGATACCAACCAGGAAGCATTCATTCACTACTAATCAGAGCGGATTCCCTTGAAGTTTTCCTAATCTTTTGACTTCATAATTAAGCTTGCATGGGTAAACTGGCTGGTCTATGTCTTGTGACAAAAGAAATCACCCCTGGAAATATGAATAGTGCAGCAGAAACACTGGGTTAGCAAAGCTGCTCTTCATCTTCCAAGTGAAAAGGAAGAGGAGGAGGAGATGGGAAAGAGGGAGGCAACTAGATTTTGGTTTGGGGGGAATAATTCCCTGAACTCAAATCTGATCTCTCTGAAGACAGTGGGGGATTTTATGCTGTATTTTTTCTTGGTTTATTTCTTGTCAGTTATCTTTCTATTCACTGTTTACATAATGCTTCTACTATTGCAGTATTTGCATATGGTAAATGAGTAGTAGAATTAAGAAATGGGCATTACGAAGTAGGTGGAAAAATTCTTTATATTGGGACAGAAAATGTATTGGAGGTAACAGACCTTGGCAACAAGTGCAAGTGGGCAAACTGCTATGTCATATACCCACTGTATGCTGTATATGTTAACATATGTTTATGGATACATATCACCAGAGCAGGTACGTGCAAGGGTCTGAGAGTGAAAAGTCCATACCAGCAACTCAAACCCATCTCTCCGCTAAATGAAATGGTGGGAATAGATTCCTTGGGAGTATTTTAGGACCTTCATGTCACTGACTAAGGCAAACATGATACAAAATAGGACACGTATAGCGTATACTTTGAAATCGTTGTGTAGGATGAGAAATCACCATTCTGACCTTCCTTGGTTTATTGCATTTATATTTCCCTTAGTTCAGGATTGCCTTGCTCTAGGAAAGTAGCAGAGCCCTCCCAACATAGCAGTGCTCAGAGAAGATACTTCAGTCTTTGTCACACATCAAAAGTCAAGTGAATAGAAGAGAAAAGCTCCTGGGCCACACTTACAGTGCTCCAGCTGTGCCTGAAGTACGGTGGTGGAAACAGGGGCGGTGGAGGAGGGCCGAGGAGACAGCATGGTCTGCGGTGAAGCTGTTTCTTCTGTTCCAAACAAGGGAGATCTGTTCAATACAAACATCATCCATTGTCTTGAACACCACAAATACATCTTACAGAATAAGGTGAGTTTCCATTCCAAAGGACTTTTGTACACTCTGTGTCCATTGTAGCACTGGATCCAAGCAGGAACTAAAGAAACCACATGGTCCCTCAAGTTTATAAGGTCTTCTTGTGCTGCAGGCTGTACAGAGTTTTAAGGTCTAAATATGGCTATGACACAGGCTGATTTTGGAAAATATACGATACCCAATGTTAGGAAATAGATTGAAATATATATTTATCTCTCTTTCTGCCATGTTCCAAAAGCGTATTAGAAATGACATCTTCTGGTTACCGTCACAGCCCACATGTGACCAAGGAGCACTGCATGCTGCTGCCCACCAGCCTTTCCCATGGACCAAAATACTTCAGGCTCTTTTCTAATAACAGTGCGGGCAGTTGTTCCACTGCACATCTGATGATATTTCCCATGGGCCTGAAATCACGTTGCCTTATTTCTGACTTGTGCATCATCACTACGAATCAAGACTCTGCAACCCAACCGTAGCTGACAGCTTTGCCACCAAGTGTTGAGCAAGGCAGGCTATCAGTTGTTTTTAGCAATATATTTACCCTTTTCTGAGAGGAAAACTTCCATCGACAAAATAAGCAGCTGTGACCAAAGAGCCACCGAGAAATGATGTGAAGATGATGCATTTATACTGTCTGATCTTTTCTGAATCTATTTACCCCCCAGGAAATCTCTCTATAATCAGGATGAGGGCCTTCTGCAAAGGTTTTGCCAAGTGCAGGACATACTTATTTCTCTCTGTTGGTTTCTTCCTCTGGCTACTGGCAGCCAGGGATGGGTGTCTGTGAAGTGAAGGGTGGCAGGGAGCCAGATACAGTAGGAAGAAGAGCCTATGGTAAAGTATCTGGTATTAATAGAAAATCTCCAAATTAAGTTTCTAGGAAGACAAACCTGGCAAAATTGCTAGATTTGCGTGCAAATCAGTTGCAGGCTGGTTTTTAATCATATCTCAATGTAACACACATTTCTCTAAGGGACAGAGATGCTTCTAATTTTTCAAATGTCTCAGAAACTGTATTACATCCCATTGACCACCCCACATTCATGGGAACAGCATTTTGCCCAGTCCTCATGCACTGAAAATAGCCGACCAGATGAGTGTGGTTGTTAAAGCACTGAAGTGGCTTTAACTTGTGGCAAGGGAACAACTCAGCAGGTGTTTCACTATCTCGTTTTGTGTCAATATCAGACTTATTGGCTAAGTCAGGGAATCACTTCTGGTGTTTAGCTACCTGAAAATAGAAACTGTCTGCAGTCGCTTCCGCGGATGCCAGGTTACATCACACCTTGTCTGGAAAGACAATCTAGGTACAGGGTTCAGGGAAATGCATTTCACAGATGTCATTTCAGTTACCTTCCTGAGCTTGAATATTTTTAATAAAGTGACATTTCTTTCCTTTCTCCAACCAAAACAAAAACAAACAAACAAACAAACAAACAAACAAAAAAAGCCAAAGATTTCTACTGGCAGTAGAATTCAGAAGTAGTTTATATGTTATGCAGATTTTTTTCTCTACCAAAATATTAGTTGAGATGATACAGTTGAGAGGTAAGTCTGTTGAAGTCTGAAAGGGCTCCATAGTAAAGACTCTATCTGAACTTTTCCCATTAAGTTTGAATTCAAAAGAAAACTTCAATTTAGAATAAGTCAACAGATTTATAATTAAAAAAATAGAGATTGTATGTATATATATATATTATTTAAAGCTAGAAACATATACTGACAATGACAGTGCCCGTTAAAAAGCAGCAAAAGTTTGAGTTCTCCTATCTCCAGTTCACACATACAGAAACATGTAGAGTTAAACTCTGTATTGGCTTGCCCTGAATTCAGTCACTAACAGCCACTGCAGAAAAAGTTTTGCATTACTGCAGTTGTTCTGCTACTTAATAAAATAAAATAAAATAAAATAAAATAAAATAAAATAAAATAAAATAAAATAAAATAAAATAAAATAAAATAAAATAAAATAAAATGATTTTTATTTAAATATTTGGCAAAAATAACATTAAATACAGATCATAGAATCATAAAATCATAGTGTACTCATCATGCCCTCATGAGCAAAGTCTAGTCCTGGGTTATAAAGTACTGACATTTTCCTTTTATGGAAGCACAGTCTGAAATTCTTTGGAAGAGTTTCTATTGTGAAAACCAATATACTCAACAAAGTTGGGAGCAAAATAGCCATTGGTTTCAGTCTTTATAGTCTTATTCTAATTTTACTATACCACAAGTTAGGTTGAAGATCAGTTTAGGTTTGCTGGTATAAACAGTGGTAGCATGTACTGATATGATATGCAAAAACAATTCAGAAAGCATGCAATTACTATTATTATAATATATGGACTAGATAGCAGTTATATGATGTAGGTTGTTTGTGTTTCAGGGGCTCCATCATTAATCATGGCCATGCTCTGGCAGGTGTATTCGTAAAGCAAATATTTAAGAAATGACTGATCCCAGACCCAAGGATCCTCCACACTCAAGTATGACGGGTGGATACAATAGAAGAGGGAGCACAAAATGAGAGTCACAGACCAGAGGTATGAATATTATAATATTATAATATCTTCCAATTAACACCGCATTTCATTGGTATCTATTTTGTAACTGTGGTAGGTCCAGGATGCAAAGCCAGTTCAATGCTGGCCTGTTTTGCAACACAAAAATATTACCTTGGTAGGCTTACAGGCTGTCAGCAAATGCAATATATATCATTACGCTCCACATTAGCTTTGATTGCTAAACACAGCTTCATAATACTCTAGTCCCCAACAGTGGAAAAAGTCTCAGCCCAAGAATAGGATTGTCATGGTTTTCTGTGAAATGTGAAGACTCTACCTACATAGCGAGCTCACTTACACTTCTGTGTGGAAACTGCTCTTTCAACATCTTCCATATCAAAGAAAGTATTCAGTAAGAGAAGGAAGGCAAAATGAAAAACTCCATACAGGACTTGTCTAAGTGGCAGTTGTTTCCAGAGAGCATAAAAATTAAGATAGTCAGCTTTAAAATAGTAAATGTTTACTATTTTCAAACTCAAATTATTTTTATGGTCCAGATTATATTCATGAAAGTGATTATATCAATCTGTGAGTAAAAGAGTTGCTTGAAGAAATAACATATTTTAGATATGAAGACATAACATATTTTAGATAGGCTTTGCCCTGTTTCATCTTGTTCTTGCAGACTGCTTGCTTCTGGTGTTATCTGGAAGCCAAAAACTGAGATCTGAGATGGTCCAATGCAGAGCCAGAGAGAAGCCTTCACCCAGGCAGAGTGCCCTGGAGCAGAGCTTGGACGAGGTCTCCAAGCCATCCTAGGGCTGATCTTTCAGTACTGTGACCCCTCCTGGCTGCAGTGGAGGTACCAGAGGGAAGTGCTGCCCTGGGTCCAGGTTAGATTTGCAGGGTTTTACTGCAAAAACTGTATGCAAGCTGTGAATATGACTTCTGCCCTAAAATCACAAAGGTGTAGGCTAGCTGGATCGATGGCACTGGCAGGAGAAAAGGGCATGACATGAAAAAGATGTTCAACATGTGTTTCCCTTCCTATTTGCAACCACACTCACCCAGCAAGCCCTGACTGGATGCTGAGCTGCTTTCCAAAGCCGTGTCTCCCCGACAGCAGTGCTGGTGGCCTGCCCAGTTTCTGACTGGCAGGGCCTGCTAGATGGAGACCTCCGATCGCTGACACCCCATCACAGGTGCTTCTCCCACTTGGACGGCCGTCAGAATTAATAATAAACAAGCTGGGCAGATGGGCTAGTTAATGAATGTGGGCTCGTCCGGCTGAAACTGAGACTTTCATCTGCTTTGTTGTCATTCATTCAGGCTCCTCTTGCCCTCCTGGCAAGGACAGCAGCTCGCCACGAGCAGCGGCCATCAGGTGTTATCCTGTGTGTCTATCACAAGGTGGCTAAGGCACATCTTCCCTTACAAATTAGGAAAGTTTAAGAGCTTGTCAAAGGTGCCAAAGTCCCAGGGGAAAGGGCAGCACCAGGAGGAATGGGTGAGGGTGGGCAGGAAGAGCTGGGGTACAGCTCACACCTGGAGCTGGATCAGACCGTCAGGTTCACGAACAGGCTGCATCTCTGTGTCCTCATCAACTTAGGCCTTATGACCTGAATATACCATCTCCTATGTACCTGGTGATGTAAATACAGTCAGGAAATACAGCAACCCCTACAGCTTATGCACCAGTGCCCATGCTGGGGAAAGCAGTGACCCAGCCAGATCCCGTGGGAGCCACAGCATGAAGACATTTCCCCATCCTTTTTGTGGAAAATGAAAATACCAGCCAAAACTTTTCAAGCTTATTTCCAGCCAAGAATAGCTGATAGAAATATGAAAATACTCTGTGCCAGTAATCTTGTTTCTAATCCCCAAAGTGGCTACCGGTTGAGGCAGAAGTTATGCGCGCTTCACCAGCTGGCGCAGTCAGAAGCTGTCCTAGTAAGTAAATAAATAAAGGTGTTTAAAATGAGCTGGTGTTCAAGAAACCTTGCCAACAGCACAGATATTGTGCTCACGCCCCCAGCATCTCCCAGTGCATCCCCTCAGCTCGTGTCCTCCTGCAGCCAGCCCTAGTGGAGCCCCTTGCAGCCCTGCTGGAGCAGGCCCGTGCCAGGAGATACAAGGCTCAGGAAGGCAAAAGAGCATGCAAGATTTCCTCAGAAAAGGCATTTTATTCCCCCTAGGCACATATTTCAGACATTTCATGTGTGCATATGCACTTGTGTGAGGGCAATGCGTGTGCCTAAAGGTTATTTGCTTCTCTCCCAGAGGATTACAGAAGGGAACTTCTGAGATTAGCGCTGAAGGAGAGAGGAATATTTGCTTGGTTTGGCTCTGTGCTCCAGTGTCATAAGAACATAAAAGTCCCAATAAAACCTGCACAGCAGAACACTTCAGGGGGTTATAAAATGG